GGCCCGTAGGATAATTTTTAATTACTATTAGATCTGGCCCGCCGGTATATTGCACGCACACCTTCACTCCATCCTGAGGATATCCTCAGTTCAGAGCCTGAGCCCAAACATTGATGAACTTGCACCCGAGATGAGATGCCAAGTATCTGGCTTGAACTAGCATCACAGAGCAGCACACTGAGTTTCAATGGATGTTTCCTTCTGCACTTTTTCTCTCACAGGGCATGTTTGGGTTTTTCTTTGAGGGAAATAATTTTTTTTAAGATGTTGTTGGCCTGTGGAAAAATGTAATCATAAGAAATGACTCCGGAAAAGCTGCAGATAGAGCCATAAGAAATGAATCCAACTGATTAATTTATGTTTAATGTTGTTTTTATAGGCAATCATTTAATCTTTGTTAGTTCCAGGTTTAATATCTGCAATAAGTTCATTTCAATAGGTTTTGCAATAAACACTGAACCAGTCCAGCCCTCGACTAGTACCCATTTTTTAATTTTGGCCCACTGTTTATTTGAGTTTGACACCCCTGCTCTAAAGCATTACTGCTGTCTAAAGAAGACCTTCAAAGACACAGCTCTTCATTTTAAGATAGAATAGCATGCCTAAAATGAGTCTCTGTTTAATTTATTCAAATAACCTTATTTGCTTAACACTAGTCTACACTAATCATTTGTGAAACCAGCCCACATGTTAAGGGGTGTGTCACAAAGCAGAATAGCAGGCATGTTGAAAATATTATAAGATTACATTTAATGGATAGTAATTCACAATCTGGCACTGAGTATAAAATATGCTGAGTTTATCGCAATGTTAAACAGAGCATGCAGCTATTTAAAGGAACTCCCCAGTGCAAACACAGATGGGTCCCATATGATTTAAACTACATTTATACACAATTTATACCCACACCCACACCCACACCCACACTGAACTTTTTCAATTTATTGCAATCTTTTGACATCTTTTGTTGTTTTGGCAAGCGACCGAATTTCAAACATATTTCTATATTCATCAGTATTTTGCACACCAGTGAGCAGAGCAGCCATCTGTTGAGGGACAGTAGACAGAAAGAAAACAATAAAAGTAGTTAGTTAAACTAAGCAGAAGTGATCGACTTACTGACGCCTGACAGCCTTTCTGCATGCCCACTCTCACTGCGCTGCACTCATGAATGAGAACCAAAAAAACTTGATTGTCTCATGATATTTAAAACCAATTCAGATCTGATAATATCACACAGATCAGATGACTCACCTCTGTTTAGATGAGCAATCAAATAATGTGCCAATGAAGACGATCCAGCCTTGATGACTGAACTGATATCTGTTTAATCACTGGTTAGTATTTAGTAAATGTTATTGCCTCATTGAAAAGGCCCAAATAAGATGTCAAATGTTCATGAGAGTGCACAGGGGCAGTTTGAAACCAAATACTTATTTAGGGTCGCAAACCTGTGAAATCCCCTTCGCTTATCAGCAAGTTTTATGAGATAATTTAGCCTTCTCTTTGTGGAATTCATTTTTGGAAGTGAGTGTATCCCAATGGGACTTGGACTAAAGTCAACTCGAGGCCACAATTAACCCGCAGGCCAAAAGACTCTTTGACATCACAGATCATATTTAAAAGGAATGTGTTACTGTGGCCAAATGAGTTAAGGCAAACAAATTGATGGCATTCACTAAACTGTAAACTATTACTGACTGAATGTCTCACATCCAAACCTGTGACCTGTAGTTTCTTAAACTATGAAAGCTAATGATATTATATTTACATTTCTGCTAATGTAGTAGTTTTACTACACAATAACCTGCACTTTCTTTATGTACAAAGCCTGTACACTGACCTAGATAGAGACAGGAAATCACTTTTAGAAGCACAGGGAGAGGGAGGCCTCAAAGAAGACAAATGCATCCTTAGATAATTCTCTATCCTCCTACCTAATAAAAAGGGTATTAACTCTAACTAAGAACAAGTAATGTCCTCAGGCCTCACTCCCCAGACTGTTCTTAAAATGTAATATGAAGAGACTTTGTGCCATTACATTAGATTCGTCATGTGAACCACGGCTAAAACTCCAACACATTTAAACCCATTTGTATCCTTTGCTTTTCCTTTTTTTCCATTGATCTACACTGATATCTGTGGTCCTGTCTTTCTTTGACTTTCCTACACCAACATCTTTTTATGTTCTTGACAAAATCATGTGTAAGTATCTTCCTGACTGACTGTTTTTAGTCTTTAGGTAACTTTGCTGTCTTGGTTCTTCTCAGATCTGTTGTCTGCCTTATCAGTAATTGTTCACTCTAACATTTCCTGGTGACAACAGTGTTAACTGGAGCGAACAGTCCCGGTGTCCGAAAGGCAAACACCACTCAATCTGTTGACCATATCCACGTTTTTGAAGCTGGGTCACTCAGCCATCGGAGGGCAAATGCATTCAATTGGCTTCACAGAATTAGCGCATGTCAACAGTGAGCCAGTGACTCCTTTCCAACCTTTCCATGGTTACAGTGCCTACCTGCATGGGATAAAACTCCATGCTTATTCCAAAAGCCTCTATATCTCTGGTCCACAACCGCAAACCCTATGTGTAATACTGTTTTTTCCCTAAAAAATATGCATTCAAATGTTTGCTACATAAATCTGTGATATATAAAAATGTGCTTCAAGATATAGTTCAATATATGGTCCAGAAATTAATACTGTTCCAGAAATGAAAACTGGTATAAGGACATATGTCCATATACCAGTGATATCACAATGATATCATATCATTGTGTCAATATACAGAAAAATGTCACAACTAACTATTTTAATTATTATTTAAAGGTGGGGTAGGTAAGTTTGAGAAACCGGCTCGAGATACACTTTTTGTTATATTCCATGGAATGCTCTTAACATCCCGATAGCAATGAATATCTTAAGTGCTTTGACAAAAAATCCATACAAAAATGTAATCTGTGGAAGCCGTAGTACTGTAAAAAGTACGACCAATCATTTTAGCCGGCCCGGCTAAAATAACTGGATGGCCTACCTGCCTGTCAGCCTTGCATCTGTGCACAAACTTATCTCGTGCCCTAGATAGATAGAATCAGAGGGATGAAACCCTCTTTAATGGTCACACATGCAGAGCACACAGCACACACAGTGAAATGTGTTCTCTGCTTTTAACCCATCCTAGTACCAGGAGTCTAGTACTAGGAGCAGTGGGCAGCTATTGTACAGCGCCCAGGGAGCAATGGGAGTGGGGGGGGGAGGGGGTTGTCCGGTGCCTTGCTCAAGGGCACCACGGCAGGGCCCAGGAGGTGAACTGGGACCTCTCCAAGTAGCAGTCCACACTCCATATTTAGGTCTGTTCGGGGACTTGAACCGGCGACCCTACGGCTCACAGTCCAAGCCCCTACTGACTGAGCCACTGCCGGACATTGCTCATGTGCGCGTTCGTGTGTGTTGGAGGAGGGGCTCTGTAAGGAAGTGGCAGATTTTTTCCGGCTGTGTATTTTCAAATTCTAGCGCACTCGAGCTGGTTTCTCCAAAATTACCTACCCCACCTTTAAGTAATTTATTGTGCAAAAATAGTGCACAAGCTGGAGTTTTCAAGCTTTTTTCAGTTTAATATTAAAGGAAATGTTTTGGGGTTTTGCTAGATTAAACAAGACATTTATAGACAACCTTGGACTTTTGAGAAATTGGGATGGACATCTTTCACTATTTTCAGTCTATTTTATAGACCAAAACAATTAAACAATCTAAAATAATTATAAAATTAATTGATAATGAAGGTATTAGGATGAACAAGTTTCACTGATAACTGCAATGTGACCCTCAGTGCACTTCCAATTCTTTAAACCGTGAATGGCAAAATAAGATCAAAGACAGGTCATTTAAATGTTTAGCTCTCTCTCATTGGAGACCTTCATATTTGTGTTACATCTGATGAATGTAATTATGTTCATAACAATCAATGTGTGTGTTTAAGACAACCACTACTAACAGTAGTGTGCCCAGCCTGCCTACCAGTACGGAAAACATTGGCTTTCCCATCAGCATGCAGGTCAGATAATCGGCCCTGCAGCCAAGGTTTGGTGGGCGGTGGGCCATGATATTAGACTGCTTGGCTGGATGGACAAACTAAGAGAGAGCTGGCTGTTGTCATGCCGTCGAGGCTCCGTCCTGTGGATTGGACGGTGTTTCCAGCGGCCAGCTGCCACCTTCCCACTGAGGTCTTAAGCTGGTTTGAGCTGGTCTTGGCAGAAATTCTCTCCACTGCAGACTCAACGTGAATAGTAGTTCGCAGGCAGTGTTTGGTGGAACATTTGACTTTTTCTTCCTCCAAGTGTTCAAACATGTAACTGTAGTTGCCGTGGAAATGCCAGGCTTTTTGGTGGTGTACCACTGTGAACTGTGTTATTGATTTTGTAATATCCATGGGTCCAATAGCTCAGGGAACATTGAGCAATATCCATCTTCCATTAGAGGGACTTAACCCCCCGGTACTGAAGCTCGTCCACCCTTCATTGACCAATCAGCACCCATGCTTTTAGCAGCACTCCTCTGGGCTGCTCTGGGTAAACACAAGTGTCTGCCTCAATGTTTGTCAATGCCCGTTGCCTAACCATTTATCAGCAGGCAGTTAGCATCTGGGCAACTGGGATCTATGTGCATTAGAACAAAATGAATTCTACCATCAAAATCCTTCCCTTCTCTGTCATGTGTGTGAGAGCTTATGGTGCAATATTGTCTGCACAAAGTTTTACTCCCACAAAACTCAAGCATGGAGGTGAAATCCCCCCCCCATTCCAATTCCCTGAGGCCCCCTCCTCCCCTTTCCCCTCCCTGCTCAGGGGACGTCACTCCCCTGGCAGCGGAGGGACTGGAGGCTGGATTCTAGAGGGGCAAGGCGAGGGCAGATCCTATGAAGCAACAGTGAGGGGAGGCGTAAAAAAGTTCTGCTCTGCTCAGTGTACATGCCAGCATATGAAATAGAGTTACAGCAGAGTTTCCAGGCTGCACTTCATGGGAGCAGTGGATCTTATTCGACTTTACCTGCGCTTCACATGCAGCTGATTTGCTCTGCAAACTGGAAAAACGCACTGACACTTCTGACAGGCTTTTTTGTCCCTCTTCAGTGTCTAAACCTCAACTTGTCAAATCCACACAGGTATGCACATGTCTTTAGTGAAATAATGTTTGTGTTTTTATTTAGAATACCTAATTCTGTAATTTAACAAACTTCTGCAGTAGCTGTTGTTTTTTTTTGATCATGCAGGTCTTTTTAGAGTAATAGATGTTGATGTCACTGTTAAATATAAAACATGCATTATATGTACATGTATGTATGTACGAAACTCCTTTGGGCATCTGGAACCTTTTTGGACGTATGCATGTAGGCCAAAGAGAGAAATACTGATGCATCTCATGCAATGTGTATTGTCAGTTTCAAAAACTAAAGTGTCATACTTTTTCATTCACTGTATTCTATAAAGAGACGCTGTACAGCCCTCATTGTGATGCTAATGAGCTGTCACAGCCATAACTCATCTCCACCACACTTTTAAATGGAGGTCAATGCATATTTTCGATGGCTGTCAATGTTAATTAACAGTACAGAAAATCTGAATTTTGGTTCCAAGAAGAAGCTTCAACATCAAAAGCGAGCTATTCACTGGGCATATTTCATTCTTCATTTATCTTATTGTATTCATGCAAATATGTGAGGCAGGATCCCCAGCAATATTAATAATGAAAAGAGAAACAATGAACACAAAGAGGCCTGCAGTTCGTCTTATTATGTTTTATTATTATGTAATTAGCAAAGCAAGATACTGGAATGTCTGTATTGTGTTGCAATGGTGCATTCATGGTCCCTTTTTGAATGCAGTTCTTTGACAACTTAGATCTGCACCGTAACCCCAAACAATAGATTTAAATGGAACACCATTACTGTATAAACTTTACCACGATGTAGCACTTGGCAGCATTCCTAAAATGCACGTCATAGTTTGTAGACTTAACATCTGTCTCAATAGTTCTAAAGCAATCCCAACTTTTACTCAACATGTTATGCAACTAACCTTTCAGCCTTTGTTTGCAAGAGAACACTTTCTATGATCTGCAAATGCAAAGCAGGTGGAGCTCAAGTCCTCACACCTGACCTTTGGTTTTACGGATTGTGTTCCTTCTATTGAATGTGCAAGTATTGATGCTAGGATAAAGAATATTAGTGATGATTGGGTGAGATCAAACTGTTTCTTCTCAAATTCTGCACAGTTTGAATTATATTAATCTTGAATTGTTTGGCTAGAAGTATAGCGTCGTTATGCCAGACCTCTGCTTCACAGGTATTTTCAATATTTTCTTCTCTCTTTCCATCTGTCAGCAGGTGTCAACATGCTGGAGCAGGTTCTGTCGTTCAGCCGCTCCCTGGTGCGCAGGAAAGTGGTCGACATGAACAACCTGGAGGACTCCAAGTTGTGCCGCTGCCTAGGAACCGTCGACCTCATCGCCCTGGGAGTTGGCAGCACTCTGGGCGCCGGTGTCTACATCCTGGCCGGAGAGGTGGCCAAAGGCGACTCTGGACCCAGTATAGTGATCTCCTTCCTAATCGCTGCCTTAGCGTCCGTTATGGCCGGTCTGTGTTACGCTGAGTTCGGTGCACGCGTCCCCAAAACCGGCTCTGCTTACCTTTATAGCTACGTGACTGTTGGAGAGATCTGGGCCTTCATCACTGGGTGGAACCTCATCCTCTCCTATGTGATTGGTAAGTTCGTAGCAGTCTTTGGGTCCAATGAACTTCAAGATGGTGCTGATACTTTTTTGTTGCTTCTTACAGGTACCTCCTCAGTTGCCAGGGCTTGGAGTGGCACATTTGATGACATGATAGGAGGCCACATCGAGGTTTTCTGTAAGACGTACTTCAGCATGAACTCTCCTGGTCTGGCTCAGTACCCGGACTTCTTTGCCGTCTGCCTGATACTGCTGCTTTCTGGTGAGGCAGCAAATAAAGCCTTGAAATCCAAAACATCTGATATGTTGCTACAGAGGCTACTGAGAAAATACATAAATTAAGATTTCTACATTTTGTTCAACACAGACAACTCTCATGAGCTATCATAATCCAATTAAGGGATGGCAGGACACTTTTTGCTTGACAGGTTAAGGCAATGTGAGTCCACTAGGACATAACATCTACCCCTTTCTGTTTTTAAAAACTCCCTGATCACCCTGCTAGGTATCAGCAACACCTCGTTTCTCTTTCCCACAGTCACACAATCACATCGGGGAAGAGCCCGGTCCAACTACAGCTTCTTTGCAACCTCAGGGTTCAGTATCGTCAGTAGTTGAGGAGAGAACTTCATATTCATTTCCTGTAGTCAGATTCATCGCAGTCCAGGGATTTAAACATGGTTTGGATAAACCCCCCTTTCTGACCCTCAGGCTAAAAAAATAGGTTGGTGTGACCTAACAATGCGCTAGTGTTTGGTTGTTTGTTAAAGTCCACAGTTGAAGGGTTTATGCAATATTTGTTTATCTGAACCAGATTTAAAAATGGTCCTGTTTTTGTGAAAACGTAAAGAAAATAGAGGTTTGTACATCTCTCCATTTAGCTCTGGTCTGAAACACCCCACAATCATCTATTTACATCTCGTTGCACAATTCTCCTTTAAAATAGTGGCATGACATTGGTGGGTGTTAGTGTTATCCATACCGTTATATTGTGAAACTCCAAATTATTTATAATAATAATAATGATGACACACTTTGTAACTACTGGACATTAAAAGATAAAACTGAGCTCTTTTGCCTTTTTGTTTGTCCCAGGACTCCTGTCGTTTGGGGTGAAGGAGTCAGCCTGGGTCAACAAAGTCTTCACTTCAGTCAACGTGCTTGTACTGTTGTTCGTCATCATTTCTGGTTTCGTCAAAGGAGATTCGGCGAACTGGAAGATATCTGAAGAATCCCTCGTAAATTTCACCATAGTTAAACGGTAATTTATTAACCCTTAACCATTTGTGGTATAGGTTTATATGTGAAGTACATCAATGCAAAGCCATTCCATATCAGATGTACTTTTAGGCTGGTTTTGTGTTGAGTTCAGTTTGATGTTTCAGGAACCTGTCGGTGACGACCAATGTGACCAGTGATTATGGAGTAGGAGGATTTATGCCTTTCGGGTTCAGTGGGACCTTAGCTGGAGCTGCCACTTGCTTTTACGCTTTTGTCGGATTTGACTGCATTGCAACCACAGGTGAGCCACTGAAAGGTTGGGTTATAGTCTGATTTCATCGAAGCTCAATGTAAAGATGTTTGTGCCTCTGCATGAAACAGGCGAGGAGGTGAGGAACCCTCAGAAAGCCATTCCCATCGGCATCGTGGTGTCGCTGACCGTGTGTTTCCTGGCGTACTTCGGTGTGTCAGCTGCGCTCACACTGATGATGCCTTACTACCTGCTGGACGAGAAGAGCCCTCTGCCCATGGCTTTTGAGTATGTGGGCTGGGGCCCTGCCAAATATGTGGTCGCTGCAGGTTCACTGTGTGCCCTCTCCACCAGGTAAGCTCTGGATCTGCTGTTCTAAAATAGGACTAAATATTTATGGTATTTAGATGCTAGATTTACTGTATCTGAGCAATCAGAATTTATAATATGACTTTAATTTCTGATTGATGTGCTTGCTATACATTGGTGATAATGGTAAAGGAGATGTGGTCAAAAGTTCTGACCACTTATCTCTGTCTATCTGTCTTATTATTGGATTGATTCATTTTGCCTAATGGGACATAATAGGCGCAGTGTTTAAAGGGAGAATGCACAACATTTTCCGGTGATGTCCAATCACTTTTGTTGGTAATTGTAGCCGGTTGAAGCAAAGCATTTCTCAGTGTGTGCTGTATTCTACGATTAGCTGATTTCTAGCTTCCCATAAGCGATGACTAAATATCCAAGCTAAAGTAGGCTGTAGTTTTTTAATTCCTCCAACTACGTCAGGAAAAACAACAGATTTAACAGCAACGAAATCCCGTTCATGGTCCGGCATTCACTGAGGAAGTTATTGCTTCAATCAATTAAATTGGACATACACATAAAATGGCAGGAATTGTCCCTTTAATTCTCTCTGTTTTCAGTACCTGCATGTGTTTGTAATTTACTATGTATAATTTAAGTGTCATATATATGTAAGGTTGTCTATCAAAATATATTGGTGTTACTTAATGTCTTTCTTCCCTGAAGGTTTGCTATATCAGTTTCCTTTCAGTTTTCCATCTACAAACCTTTCACAAACATGAATATCAGTCACTTACTTATCCCATGATCTGCATTCTTTAAATCTGATTAGAACCAATGAAGGTTTCAGATAAGTTAGTTTGAAATTGGTGTTAAGGGTGTAGTCAACGGCATTTACCCTTATAAATTTAACTCCAAACCAGCTCTCAAAACCGAGAAAAAACAACTTAATTCGATTAAAAAGCCTTAAAAGCAGAGTTTGATCTATTATAATGCATATATCAAAGTTTTGATAGCTAATTAGTGATGACTAAATGCCAAAAGGGAAGAAAGACACTTTATTGACTTTATGCATGCTCTGAAGCTTTGATGATGTGATTGTTGGTGTACATGTGTGTGTTTTGGGGCTTTTTGACTAACGTGTTGGTCTTGCATGTCTCTGCTGTCTCATGCAGTCTGCTGGGCTCCATTTTCCCCATGCCTCGTGTAATCTATGCTATGGCACAGGATGGTGTGCTTTTCAAAGTCTTAGCCCGAATCAATCCTAAGACGAAGACCCCACTTATTGCCACTATGACCTCCGGTGTAGTAGCAGGTGAGAGATGGGGAGCAACCAAAGAGATTCCTCCTGCTAATCTTTCTCCACCAATCAACTGTGAAAGACACAAGCAAAGATGCAAATAATAATTTGGTTACAGAAATTGACCCACCCTTTATCACTCCTTTTTCAAATGATCCAGTTATTCTGAGGTTTTCCCTCCATATCTACATGTTGTTCTTTCACGGTTGTGCAGGTGTCATGTTTTTTTTCCCAGAATGCCCTCAACTTAACCATGAACCCTCTTCTCCCTAGCCTGTTGGGCTCCATGTTCCCTCTGCCACGCATTCTCTTTGCCATGGCACGAGATGGTATTCTGTTCAAATTTATGTCCAAAGTGAGTAAGCGCCAGTCTCCTGTGGCTGCCACCATGGCGGCAGGTACCACTGCGGGTAAGCTCTCGAGGCAAGGACTTGTGTTTTGGACGTGATTGGGATTTTGTCTTTGCATGGTGGTGGTGGTGACTGCATGTAAAACTTGGTGATGGTGTTTCCAATGTGAGAAAACAATACACACAATATTAAGGCAGCCAAGTTCATGGATATGTGTTCACCACCACAGTCCATCTTGTTTTTAATCACTAAACTAGATATAAAAGTAGTTAAAAAACAAAATATTTCCAGTTTTTGACAAGAATCTGATATCTTCCACTTCAATACCACTATTGTGTGAATGCTACATTTAAACCTTCAGTGTGGAAGTCACTGCTTCTGGCCGATAATTAATCCAGCTAACTTCAAACATTGCAGACAGTTAGTTTAGCTTAGAAAAAAAATATACTGGGAACAAGAGTAAAGAGCTAGCTAGGCTGAGAATAGTATCAATCTTATCATCTAACTCTTGGCAAGAAAGCGAATACACTGCAAAATATTGCCACCATACCTGAAAACGTCCTCCACCAAGTGATAGTTAACGTCCGGTGTTAGCAGGGTGAACTCCAACACTCCCCTTATGCATCGAGTTCTCAAACCCTGCAGCAGCTAACTCAGCTAACAGCTAGCTAACGCTAGCCCTGTTAGCAGCAGTTAGCGGTTAGCATAACTTGAGCACCAAGAGAAGCTTTTTGTCCATCAGGAAATTCACACAGAGACACTTTCCTCTCTAAAATATATATATTCCAATTTTACACCTATCTCGGGATTAGATATTCTGTAAACAAAAGAAAATACAAACACTTTACCCCGAGGATATGGTGTGGTGCACATCAACTTCTAAAACTCACAATATAGTGTGGTATGTGGTTGTATCATGCTCACTGTGCTCAGGTGTTGGGGCTATGACCTGTAATGTGAATGACCCGGTAAAGTGGCATGCAGATGTGAACCCTTTGTAAATTTTGTTTGAATATAATGTTGTGAGCAGCAGCTTACATACCCCTCCTCTTTGTTTGGACTTTGAGATCCGCTTCATACTGCAGTCTGGTGCTGAGATACAAGCGAGGGAACACCACTGTGTATCTCACATCAAACGACACTCGCTATGGGGATGATTACAGCTGTCCGCCTAGAGAAACATGATGCTCTTTTATGTTTATTTTTATTGTGAATAGGCCTACATGTCTGCATGAAGTTTAATTTACATCTGTTCATGTTCATTTGCTGGATGGTGCGCCTGAAAGCAGTTTTGCCATTTGTAATTGCTCGACTATTATAGGGTGGTGCAGTGATGAGGTATATTTGTTGGCCGACCCAGAAGACAAAAGCAATGGGATTTTTCTATTGGATTTTGGAATATTGCAGAAAATAAGAACTGTGGAAACAAATGTTATTAAAAAGGGCTCCAATGGAGGAGTAAATGCACTCACCAGAAGAGAAAAGCTAATGTTAGGCTATAAACAAACTACATCACAATGTCACATGGCTGCACATCGCTACCGCTAAGCTATAAGCGGCTAATGTTCAGCATGATAACGTTTGATAGTCTTATTTAGTCACTTTTTAGCAACTCCTGTTTTTAAGACATATAAACTTCAGACACTTAAGTGGAGTATTAACTGATATATGATGCTTGTGTTAAGCACAGACCAGATTTCAGGCCTCTAACCAAAAACACATTCTAAATTTGAGACGAGGGAACCTGGGAGTGCTAAAATGCTAACTTATTTCAGCTTTTAGGACTCATTCCTGCACCCTCTATTGTTGTGGGTGTAAATGTTTTATGTGCTAAGATTGACTGTTCCAGTAATCAGTACTTATCCTATTTCTTATAAATGCTCTTTCAATGGATAATGCTGTTGTGCTAATGACTTTTTTTTTGCTTGCTGTAGCCATCATGGCGTTCCTGTTTGACCTGAAGGCGCTGGTTGACATGATGTCCATTGGAACTCTGCTGGCCTACTCGCTGGTCGCTGTGTGTGTACTGATCCTCAGGTGGGTACATCTATAAATAAATAAGAAATCTTATTTGGTGCAATATTGGGAAATAGTTTCCCTTTTCTAAAAACCCAGAGGTATGATTAGTGTTATTGCATCACACTGCTGATGTAAGATCTGTGAATGCTCCCATTGTATGAGTGTGTAGTGGCAGCTTGAGTGAATGGAGGTGTTTACTTCCTGTAATTTCTAAACTCTGGAGCTGCTGTACACCTCTGCACAGAGGGGATTCATCACCACAGCAGCAGCAAACACACAAACCCTGTTTGTTCCCTGGTTTAAACTGTTTGTTATGTGAAGTAAAACTAAACCACCCCACTATTACATAACGAAAGTGAGATTGGGAGTCATGTCTTCCTCACTATGTAAGCATTTTGATGTGAGTTATACAAGTAATAGTATTATTTTTCTGTTGGCCTTTTATTATTGTTATTATTATTATAAAAAAAAAATTATTTCCTTTTTTTATTGAATATTTTGTGTTTTTTAACTTAATTTTTTATTTCATTTAAGAGTGATCTTGTGTCATTGCTATTATGTTTGTTTGTATAAAAGAAGCATGACAAGTTGTTGGTCTTATTATTACTAATATAATGTTTTTAAATCAAACTTGTATGCTTATTATGATTATTGTTTTCATTTATTAATTTGAAGATGTCTTTTTTTTGTAGAAGGATTTTGTATCTTGGACATTATACTAATTTAAATGGGGAAAAAAGCATGATATGTTTTGTTATACACAATAGCAAACATTTGAAACAATAGCTTTTTGGAGCAGAATAAAGGATATGTATATATCCAGGTAGTGTTTCTTCCAGACACTGAAAACACTGAACATTATCCTGTATTATTTTGCCCACTTATGACATTCATTTTTAACTCCTGTGTTGTCCAGGTACCAGCCCGATGGAGCCATGGAGCGGCGGGCAGGCCCCGGTGAAAGGGACTATCTCTCCTCTGAGGAGGGGGAGTCTGACCTCACAGAGTCTGAGTCTCACCTTAACATGCTGAAGGGGGGCAGCTCCACCCTGCAGGCCGTCCTGCACCCGCCTGCCTCTCCCTCTGAGCATTCCTCCAGCGTGGTCAACATGTCTGTCTGTGTGCTCGGTAAGCAAGCTTAGGTACATTTTTTTATTTTACCTATGAGATAAAAAACGTCAGAATTAAATGTGTGTTTTCAAACCGCAGTGCTGGTAGTGTGCGTGATGAGCTATCTCACCACGTACCACATCTACAACATCCTCGATTTGGAGGGATGGATCCTGGCCTCACTATTCGTGTGCCTGCTCATCTTCAGCGGCTGCGTGTTCATGGTCTGCAGGCAGCCTCAGACCACCAAGAAGGTCTCCTTCATGGTAGGTGGCAACTCAATTGGTGCATTATGGGATCAGAGATCCATTACAAATACATTGATGTTTTTTTTGCTACACAGGTTCCCCTTCTGCCTTTTCTGCCAATTGTGAGCGTATTTGTCAATATTTACCTCATGGTGCAGCTGAGTGGAGATACCTGGATACGTTTCTCTGTGTGGATGGCTGTGGGTGAGTCCCGTGTAAAGCCCTATTATGCTTGTAGGGTAGTCCTGTTGTGTGTTATATAGGTTTTTGTGCATGTAAATGGTCTGCAAAGGCTAAAATCCTAAAGTTCCCTCAAGAGGGAGTTTCTCTCCTACACGTAAAACCCCCCTGCCTGAAACGCCTCCATTGGAGTCCTTTTACCGTAACATAGTGACAATTGGCAAGCACTCTTACAAATTGTACATGATAGGCTAAGGGGCGGACATAGCAAACTGCTATCCTGGCCTTGTCTGAAGGTACTCTGTCTATTCAGGGAGCAGTGACCTCCTGTCATATTGTTTGACGTTAGCATATCATATATTAGCTAGCTTTATTGCCCTGATAACAATAACCTGTAAAACGACAACACAGCATATTTAAAAGTAAATGCTTTAAAAGGCAGCATATCAAAGTCAACAACATCTACCAACAGTCATAGTCCTTAAACCCTTAGTAATTCTGTTGTCGCAGGTTAGATTGTCCAAATAAATGAAAATTGCTTTGGTCCCTGAGAAGCTACGTTAGCCTTAGCATCTACTGCGTCCAATAATATGGTCAGTAAACTATTTACCTTCAGATTAAGTCCTACTACCTAATTTGGGTGTCGTTGTCAAGCTAAGCTAACTGTCTACTGCCTCTTGCTTCATATTTAGTGAAAATACATGAGTTGTATTGATCTTCAGATCTTAATCTAAGCAAGAAGGCAAGCATTTCCAAAAATGTCCAACTCAATCACAAAAAATGTGTTTCCTTAGCCAGTTTCTTTTAGCATCTCACATTCCTTCCATTATCCTAGGCTTCTTGATCTACTTTGGCTACGGCATGTGGCACAGTGTTGAGCGCCAGCGCAAACTCCAGGGCCCTTCAAACAGCAACAACCAGGAACACAAGAAGGCCGGCGGGGAGAAGCAGGCGGTAGGAGAAAAAGACCAGGAGGGTTTCATCTGCCCAGAAAAAACCAGCCAGTGTTAAAAGTAAAAGACTCTGTGAGGCGACAGATGCATAAAAGCAAACCGCAGCTCTGCCTTGATGCACCTGTTCATACAGCTTCACCATGTGTGCCTCAGTCTCAAGCGTCAGTTCTCTGTATCAGGGGCAGCATGATGCTGAGCTGCTGCATCACTGAGATGGAAACACATCCTGTAGATCACAATGCGCTTTATGGACAGCATGGAGGCAGAAATAAAAGGACAGGTAACACACTGGAGAGTGATGTTCATTTACTTTAACAGTGAATCAGTCGATTGAAGACTGCAGCGACACTTTCTCTTTCTTTATGGACTTGTTAGTGCATGAAACACTTTTTGTCTTTTCTATCAATCTTTGTATTTGTTATCTTCAGAAGCCCAGGGAGGCAAGTGAGAAAAGGAAATTCTGGTGATTCATTTTCTAAGTCGATCTAAATGTTTTTTTCTGGTAAAGGGTGGAACAAAAGTTGTCATGTTATAAATTCCTCTAAAAAATCAATGATAGCCGGGGAAAAACGTATTGGGAGGTTTTGTGTGTTTTATGTTTGTTTGTTTGTTGTTGTAATATCTCTTTCGTAATATGGATTGATTATCCTAGCCAAACCTTTTTTCCCACCTTTTCCTTAAGTCATAAACATAAATGAAAACCAATTTAGATCGGACTTGGAAAATTAACCACCAAATGTTTATTTCTTTTGTCGTCACACTTGCATATTAGGGCTTCCGTATCGTCAGGCATGTACATGTGGGTTTTTGAATGTGAAATCTGTGTTATCCTTTCATTGCTCCAGAGTATTATTATTAGATTTTGATACACCAATTATGTACTACTATTAAAAGTGACGTTAGTTTTTGGTAGAAGGACTCGTTGTTCTTTGACATAAGTGTAGGATGATGAAAAAGTAGCAGCGTTAGCTTTAATGCCCATCATCATAAGGTTAAAATATATTATAGAACTGTTTTGTGCATAATTGTTTTATATGCATACATTTGAAATGTTTATATATGTATAAAAAGATCAGCATTTAGACCAATGTACAATATGTTCAATAGTTTTTTAGGTACTTAACATGTTTTGACTCAGCTGATGGAAGTACGCCAAGTGCTTCTGTAGGTGTTACAGTGTATGTAACAGATCATATCAATCTTTGCTGTAGGGTTATTGAGGTAGCTTTATTCAACACAGGGTTCATTTTTATATATTTGCTTGGGTGTGTTTTTATCTATGGACTGTTACAGCTGAATATGAAAATTGTTGTTTGATACAGAACTCGACCCGAAAAGTATTTTTGATCGTAGTATTTTTCACTCTATCAGACTATGACACTGTATGATATGTTGTGCTATTTTGATACATGCAGACATGCTGATATTTTAGCCTTCAGAGACTTAATTAGACTTTGAAACAAAGTATTAAAAGTTAAAGTATTACTGTATAATCAGGTCTGGATTGAGACACAATTTAGCAATCATTTTCCCAGGTTGTCCTTCTTCAAAGCCTGGAGCGTGTTCTGCTTTTTAACCGGTTTGAACATTGAGACATTTTGTGCTAAACTAAATCAAGTTTTAAATCTTTAATTTCTTCCTCTGAGGCGACCTTTTTTTTCTTTTTCTATTAACTGTAAGTCTTATTGAGCACCAGTGTTTCACACTAAGCCTATACTCTTTCATGAGGTCACACACTGAGGCTGTAGGATGTTGGTGATTGGTTGAAATGTGCAGTGGTTTAAATGAATGTGGAACAAATTCAGAAGCTAGTCTCAACAGGAGTAATGTAACTGTACTGAAGCTATACATTAACAGTGATGTTAAAGTAAATAGAAGTTATGGTGCCATGATGTAGTATCATTGCACAGACAAAATACTATAATGTATTTTCCAGTAGAATCGTGTTTATTTTTTATTTTTTTAAATTACAATGTGGTTGAATTTCAGTCCCAATTTTTATTGTAAATAAATGTATTCAAAAAAATACCTTTCAAACTCATTTCAATTAAATCTGGTGGAAAGTATTTTGAATATAGCTGCGGCCCCCATGTGGCCATTTCTGCAAAGCTTTTCAATGTAAATGCATCCGGACACTCAGACTACTTTTACTTCATGTAATAATTTTCCATTCAAAATCCTAATTAGGTAAAATAATAAATACGGAAGAGGATTAGGGCCACATCAGATTACTTTTGATTTGTTCTGAGCTTAAAGATCCTATTTAAACTGTTTTTCATCAACATATTATAGGTCTCAGATATATACAAAACATGTCTCTGAAGTGTTTGGCTCTAAATACCAAACACATCATGCATTGTAGCATCCCATAATCCCCTCTGTTTCAGCCCTGTTTCAAAAGTGCTGATTCTCTGTCTTTTACTTTAGATGAAAATAAGGAGCCACTCCCCACGCCCCTCTGAGAGATATTTGGTTAACCCTTAGATGCATAAGTGGGTCTTTTTTGACCTGGTGAGGTGGTTTTCTTGAAGTATCTTTGTAATTACATTTTTTTATCATTTCATATTCCAGCTATTCCTCAAAAAACATGTTTTGGATATCATGCCATTCAAATTGTTTAATTTAAATTTTAAGAAATTGTACTTTTTGTATTACTACCCCAAGCTTCCATAAGTGGGTCAAAAATGACCCGCATGCATTTTCTATGGAATCCTATGGGAACCTTTGATTCTTATTTTGTAGTTGATGCGTTGGGAGACGGGAAGCCAATGAAGGTCTTTGAGGACTAGTGTGATGTGGTGCCATGATCTGGTGTGTGTGAGGAGTCTATCGAGGGAGGGGGAGCAGATGCCGTAGAGAAGTGAGTTACAGTAGTCAAGGTGGGAGGAAATAAAGGTAGGATAGGTCGTTCAGCTGCAGGGCAGGTAAGAGAGGGTTGGATCTTTGCATCAATATGTTCAAAACCTTTTTTTCAAAATGTAAAAAAAATGTCTAAAAAATTAAATATAAAATAATTTCTAGTGTGAACCAAAATATAATACTAAATATTATACAAGTAATTTTTCTTAACCAATATGACAAACATTGCATAAAAACACATATTATTCTAATACGGTCCTTTTTGACCCACTTATGGAAGAGTGTAGGGTCCACTCACTCGTGCATCTAGAGGTCCTTACACACCAAACTGACACCAAAGAACTTTGGTTGGTGATTGGCTAATGTTTATGTATAAAAGACATGAAAAAGTGGATTTTGTATAATAGGTGACCTTTAATCAGAATTCAGACTTTAAGCTCAGAACAAAAATAAATAAATAATTGATCTCCAAAAACAACACGTGGCACTAATCGTCTTCCGTATATAAAGTACAATATCAAAGTAAATAACTTTTTCTAAATGTCTCCTGATATTTCATCATGAATGATATTAGTGTACGGTTGCTGTGTATCAACATGTACTGTAGCATTTTACTGTTATACCCTGTTACACCGTTAGGAAGCTGTTCAGTGGGTCCATGTTAATGATTGGCCCCCCTTCGGAAGAGACATTTTGAGAGTCTTGGAAATAAGAAAAAATAAGTTCTTCTACACAAATTGAAATTCATATTTTGGTACTAAAGGTCCCATGTCATGCTTTTCCGGTTATTACCAGTCCCCTTGTGTGTTATGAAGGTTTTTATGCATGTAAACGGTCTGCAGAGTCACAAACCCTCAAAGTACACCCTGTAGTGAGTACAACTCTAACACAGTCTATGCTGCCCCAAAACGCCTCGTTGGAGATTTCTCATTTTCCATTGTTTACTTCCTGGGTACTGTGACGTGTGAATGCCCAGAGGCCACACCCTCTGCCAGCATTTCACGAAACAAAGCTTCACAAACCTTTGAGCGATTCATGCCGGATATGTACAGCGTAGGGCACTGAAGAACGATGCTGTTCCTACTTTGTTTGGACCAGCGGGAGTTCGGGTACACAACCTGTAAGTATTCATTGTTGTTTGTGTATTTATGATGTTTAAAACAAACAAGGTATCTACCATGACTGTTTAAATGGGTAAACGTTTTTCGGGCTGCTAAGTTGGGATCGCGGAGAAATGCTCTCCGCAGACCCATGCTCACAGCGTTATAAACCTTTTTCTTACTCAATATCAAGCCACACTTATTGTTTTTACTTCGGCTGTGAGTGTTTGTGTGTGCTCAGGATGAGTTTAGCTTGTTCTCGCTGTATCGCTGATCCAGAAACCTGTCCGCTCCTCACAGCAGATCGCAGCAACGAGCCTCGCAACTTCCCGACCAATCAGAGCACACTGGGCTCACAGGGAGGGGGGGGGGGGTCAGGAGCTCCAACAAGCCGTTTAGGACAGAGAGTGAATACACGTAGTTTACAGAGATGCTGTATGAGAAACCAATGTGAGTTTGGAAAATTGCACAATATAAATCTATTCTAGTATACCTCAACAATGGAATTATGATCAGTAGAAATGGCCATGACATGGGCCCTTTAAGATTAGAGAGAGAATCTCTTTTGATTGGTGCCCCGACTCCACACTACACTAGTTTTCTGTAAGAGGTCAAAACAGTGGAGAGCTGGTGCTTCACTGTCACAGCAGGTCTAAACCGAGAGCAGGAAAGGTCAAAGCACCTGCAGTTACAGCACTAATTAGGATGTAGCACGCTGTCATGGGAAAATATGAACCTCTGCACAGCAGCACAGAGGGGTCTCAGTTCAGGGATTAGCCTTAAATTACTTTCTCAATTTACACAGTACAGAAGAATTCACTTGAGGAAAAATCATAAAAAACAATGACACAAAAATGTGGCCAGTTCTCCAAATTAAAGATGTGATTATTATTATCTCATCGACATGTTTGTTTTCTTACATTCACGTTTTCAGTACATTTTATTAGAATTTTGAGGTTATAACTTTATTATTTCTGAAAAAATAGAGCATGTTTTCTAAGAAATATCAATCAATCAAACAACTTTATTAATCCCGCAAGGGGCAATTGGTTATGAGCAGCAGCTTATGTCATGTACACAGGCAGGAACATACAGGAAGAAAACACACAGATACACCCGGGAGCACAGATGTGGATCATTCCAATTTACACTATAAATAGTTCATAGCATCACAATAATAAATAAATAATCAAGTTAAAAGCCTATCAAGAATTTAAAAGTTTGAGTGCAGAAGGAATGAATGATTTTGAAAAGCGATTAGTCCTTTGATCAGGTAGAGCAAATATGTTCTCAGAATTTTGAGATGATAATCGCCCATATTATTTTATGAATAAATACATCACACTGTTGTACATGTTCTATGTAGTGTTTCAAGATTTTAAACAGTGATGCTCTCCTTCACAACGCTCTATGATCAATACTCCAGCAGAGGGCTCCAGAGTCTGTGTTTCTGCCCTCAGGTTTGATGAGAGGGAGTCAACAAAAATCTCAGAAGTTATTTTCCCTTTAGCTCTCAGTGTGTGAGGATGGAGCAGCAAATCTGATCCGGTCAGCTGGAGCCAGCAGAGTTCCTCCTGAGCCCCTCAACAAACCCCTCTGACCTCTCCGGACCGACCCGTCTGCACCATGAAGCTCTGGGTGGTGCTCGGCATGGCTCTGCTCTGGGTGGAGCTCCAAAATGGTGAGTGAAGTCTCCACATCTGTCTCGTAGATTCATGAAGCAAAATGGCTGTTATTTTAATCATGAAAACTTGGATTTTAACCTGGAAGAAGTGGGAGGATAAGATAATGTGAGGTTGTGTAAATCAATACTGGCTGGGGTATTTGTGATGGGCGTAGAATGGGAGGATGTTAGACAAAGAAGTAAATCAAATTCACATGAGGCAAAGAAAAACATTTGATTTATATTTTTGTCATCTTTTTTGTTATATTTGAATTGTATATATGCATATGCATTGTAAAAGTTGCATGAGAGTTGTGTGAGTTTTTGCAAAGTGTTTCTGCAGACCAACTCAAAGCAGATGCATCTGAGGCATGCAGCAGGCGTTTCTCATTACTGATCTTTACTGCTGACCTTTCCTTCTCATTAATGCTGCACGGAAGAATAAAACAAACACACCCTGAAAGACCACAGACCGAGAATTTGTTTTTGTCTTACTGTATGTGCCCACTCAGAAATACAGAGCCCAAAAAAGAGGCTGGATTCTGCACATTCTGTGCCAGTAATAAGGATGTCTCACTTCCTGCTTTAATGTTGTCACAGCTGGAGAAAACACAGAGTAGCTCTTTTGGAAAGACATACTGATCACAAGTCTGGACGCTCGTACAGTACAAAAAGAGAGGATTTTGTAACATTTGCTTTATTACTTTTAAAGGGGCACTATTATGCTCATTGTCAGGTTTCACAATTGTATTTCGTGCCTCTACTAGATGTCCCACCGCTTAGCCTACAATGTGTTGGAGAGCTAGCCAATAGAAGCGCAAGTGTTACATTGTGATGTCACTATGTTACTGAAGTTAACAAAGGACTATTATCAAGTCGTATCAAGCAGGGGGAGGGAACTTTTGGATTTTAGCCTTTGCAGACCATTTACATGCACACAAACCTATTTATAACACTACAGGGAAGGGACAACACAACAAACCATAATAGGGCCCCTTTAACCCCTCTCTCACCCTCCTCCCTTATCCAGGGTCCTGCCAGCAGATCAAACGTAGAAAAGATATAGGAGCGAACCGCATCCGCCCTGGGGGGAAGAGGGTGAAGGTACGAAAACTAAAAGAGGTAGCAGGGAAAGGCCAGACCCTGCTGACCCAGGTTCTAGAAAGGGGACGCTTCCTGCGCCTGGGCCAGAGCACCAGCCTGACCCCAGGGAGGAACATGGAGCTGCGCTGCAAAGGCAACTCCATCGGGTGGTCCTACCCCCCCTACCTGGACACCTTCAACGACTCCCGCCTCAGGTGCTGAATCAGCCGTTTGGCATCATGCTGGATGTGAATGTGTGAAGGTCTGATTATTTGTTTTCTTTCCCGCCTCCAGCATCAAGCAGAGCGACAAGTACAGTCAGCTGATCCTGACGGTGCCCTCTGCTGCCGACACGGGGCCCTACAGCTGCTGGGTGATCGTCTGTGATGGCACCGAGTGTGAGAGGGACCACGACCGATCATACGTCTCATACATCTATTTCACAGGTGAATCATGGGATACATAGCAGATTGCACTCTACAGTTTCTATAAGGGATATTTATCAAAAACGACATGTCACTTTGATTGAGGGTTCAGGATTCAGTTTAATATGTAATAGAATCAGAATAGAGTTTCTTGCTAAAAGGCTTTCATGTAAAAGGAATTTGCTTTAGTTGTATAGGTGTACGAGGGAAAATTACAATGTCAAAAAAACATAAATGTAGAGAGAAAGAAAGTTACAATTAAAATATGAAAAAATACTATAAAATCTACAATATATCTGAATTTAAGTTATATTTATAAGTAGGCTATATAATATTTAATAATGCTTTATTATCAATAACATGATCAGTAATAGGGAATAAGCATCTATTAGCTCATTTGTTTTTGTTTTTACGGGGCAGCAACTTTATTATAACTAACTAATTAACTTTGGTAAATCTTTTAAACTAATCAAAGTGACACAATAACACTAATTAAAAAACCAGTACAGGCAGCATAAGACCATCAACTTCCTTATTCTATGATGTTAAACAACTATCTTTGTCAATTAAGTCTGGTAGCTTAGTTAATGTCTTTGATCCCCCCCGAAAAAGTGCAGTCTGATGGCAAGGTTAAGCAGAGAAAATATTTTAAATATAGCATACAACAAACATGATATGTTTTGCTGCTACTTTAGGTAACACACTGACCCACGATAATACCTTATACAACCAGATAATCCGAACTATCTGTTTAAAAATCTACATCAAACACATCAATCACCTTCATGAATGGATGACCTAGCTTGCAGATACAAGTATTTTCCTTATTACCTTATTTGACCCGACACACCTGTCCCTCCGAACAGACAAAGACAACCTCTTCGTCCCCTCGGCCTTCCACTTTGAGATCGTGTACCTGCGCCCGGACCGGCCGGCCGTGGTGCCGTGCCGCGTGACCGACCCGCAGGCCGAGGTGTCCCTGCACAGAGAGGTCCCTCCAGAGGAGATCACGGCCAACGGGACGCAGATGACCTACGACCCCAGCAAGGGCTTCGTCCTGCAGAACCCCAGCCCCGAGCAACAGGGGGTCTTCTACTGCAAGGCCGTGACCAAGGGCACCCCCCAGATCTCCACCAAGTACCAGCTGCTCTACGTGGAGGGTACGGTCATTAATACAGAGACACATGGTGATGCTGCAGGATCAGAAACCATTACTCGTGTGCCTTAACTATGAAAAAGAATTATGTTACCTATCACTTTGATTAAAGCACCGAGAAGCACGGTGAGAGGCGTTTCACAAAGTCATGAATCACGTGACTTCGCTTCATCAGCCTCCAGAAAGAGGTCGTATTTCACAGTGGTCAAGAGCCCCCTCCCCTCCACATCACTAATCTTGGTTTATGTGGACGCTTGCCAACTTAAATGGAAACACAGTCAGATGTATGGGAGGAGAATTACAAGGTTAATTTATGAAATGGAAATGTAGTGAGGAGTCTTTGTCTGACAAGGCCGTCACAGAGACCAGCCCCTCCCCACAAATCACTGGCCCTGGATGGAGGTTAAAGTGTTCAAATGCTAAGCTTTCCTTTACAAATGTTTATGCATTTCTACATAATTGTTTGGTTTTCTTGTTATAGTTCCTAGCGGGGCACCATTGGTCAGCCTCGAAGTCTCTCCGGAATCTGTGACAGGCGGAGACAACGTCAACGTGACCTGCACGGTGCTGGGGGAGCCGGAGGGGGACGTGAGCTTCACCTGGTCTTATCCTGGTCAGGTAAAAAGGGTTTGAAACATTAAGTTGACCTGATTCAGAAACAGGAACAGTTCAACAATCATCTGTATAAATCTGTGTTTATGTCAACTCACTTCAATTCAAATGTCCCATCAGAGAAATTGACCCTGAGAATATGGTGAAAACCAAAGTAATTGGAGTGTTTCGTACGGTGGCCAACAGCGGCAAGAACACTTCCATTCGGAGAAACTTGCTACAGCTTCAGAAACAATGCAAATATAAAAACACAAATGTGCGCATCTTCACCAACTTGACAACACATGCGAAGGATTTGACTTTCACCAACAAATGTGCAACTGTCACTGTTGGCACGGTTAGCCTGTCTCATAAATGTCAGTGCTGTCAGTATACTTAGCTAGCTAGCGTCCAGCAGATCTGCAATAATATCAGAAGATATCATGTGATCACATTGTTAGAATAAGCCAATAAATCTTACATTTTCGGTAACTTTCCTTTCCTTACCATTGTGGATCAAAACATTTTCTGTCACCAATAATCAACACAATGGTAGTAAATCTTGGTTTCATTGTGTAGGACCACCGCCCAGTTCACATCCACACGTCCTTGAGGCTGGTCCACAGAGGGATGAGCCACACCACCAGGGTCTCCCAGAGCGTCCTGACTGTCGAGGACCTGGAGACCATCGACTTTGGGAACTACATCTGTAAAGCCAAGAACCAGCACGGAGAGACCAGTGTGATGACCAACATCCTCTCCAAGTAGCCCTGGAGGCTGCGCAGAGTCATGTTGGATGTGAGTGTGTTGTGAGGTATAACTGGAACACACCCACCAGTGAGACCCCATCAGATGTCATGTATATACATAAGGAAGGGAGTGTTTTTACTTTGCAGATCGTTATTACATAAAGATTTGCTACATATTATGTGGAATGAGTTATTTTCACAACCAAAACGATTTTTTTGTGTAGAGGTATAACACTTCATCAGGTTTAACACCCAGAGGAGAGGATCATTTATTCAGCAGGACAGAGCCCACACACATGAACCTAAAACAAAGAAGCGCTGACCTTTTATCCTCCACAGACCACTAGACCTAAAAACTGAACATCCCTTGAAACATTTAGAAAGACTAAAACTGTTTTACAACATGATTCTGGAGTACAAGTTTAATATAGGTTCTCTAGAAAAGATTCTGACTCTGAATTTTGTATCAAAAAGGGACAAAATAAATAGTGCTATTTATCAATCCAGATTGTTTTTAGGTGAAAAGTGTTGGAGATATCGGTCGTAGTGATGTCTTCCTTCCTTCCAATATAATGGAACAAGATGGTGGCTCGCTAAACGGTAAAAAAAATATATCTGAAACCTACGAGAGAAATGTTTATTTTGACAAAATATGGCCCCTTGTTACTGAAGATAATTTACAGTCCTTTTCAAGAGCCGTTTCTTACATGAACTATCTTCTTTCTACTGAACTACATCCAGTAACCAAATCACAAAAAAGGTTACATCTATTCATTTACGAGAGGCTTAATGCTCACATCTTAACAGGTGTAGTTTGGAAGAGAGAAAATAGTTCTTCAGGGTTGTATGAAAAATATGAATTTTGATTACGGGGTGAACTGTCCCTTTAAATAATAAAATAAACCGTTATAGTTGAGTCAGAGTCTTTCAGCTTCTCTCACATGGACTACACCCTGCTGCTGGCACTTTTGAATTGGACACCTAATCAAACATCACTGACGAATCATACTTCGCATTTATTCTACATTCAAATGAAATACTGGCGCTGGCAGACCGAGCCGCAGCCATTAAAGTCGCTCTGGCTCTGCAGCATGTTGTGAAGAAGGAGAATCTGGTTTAGAGCTGAGCTGTGTGCCAGGCTGACACCCTAATGCTCTCCGTATGTGGAATGTGTTTCGCAGGCCCAGAACTCATTTCGTTTCCAACACAACACTTGCTGCAGTTTCCACTCTGCTGAATAGTTATGATTTTGGATTATACTTAAGGTAATGATATGAACATTTGCGTAAGGATATTTGGCTCAAACACGACAGGCTGGACTGATACCTGCTGAGTTTTAGTTTAAGTTCCAGGAAAAATGAATTCCTTTAATAAACATCTTAAAAGTTACCATTAAAAAGGAGTTTTATCTGCCATGAGTAGGTCAAGATACACCCACAGGCATCTTTATTAGGTACACCTGTGCAACTGCTCTTTAACGCAATTATCTAATCAGCCAATCACATGGCAGCAACTCAATGCGTTTAGGCATGTAGACATGGTAAAGACGACCTGGTGAAGTTCAAACAGAGCATCAGAATGGGCAAGAAAGGGGATTTAAGTGACTTTGAACATGACATGGTTGTTGCTGAGTGTTTCAGAAACTGCTGATCTTCACGCACAACCATCTCTAGGGTTCACAGAGAAGGGTCAGAAAAAGGGAATATATCCAGTAAGCGGCAGTACTCAGTGCCTTGTGACGCCAGAGGAGAATGGCCAGATGAAAGTAAAGCAACAGTAACTCCAATAACCACTCGTTATAACCAAGATATGCAGAAGACCATCTCTGAACACACAACACGTGGAACCCTGAAGCCGATGGGCTACAGCAGAAGACCAGGCCAGGTGCCACTCCTGTCAGCTCAGAACAGGAAACTGAGGCTACAATTCACACGGGCTCACCAAATTGGACAATAGAAGATTAGAAAGATGTTGCCTGGTCTGATGAATCTCGATTTCTGCTGCGACATTCGGACGGTAGGGTCACCATTTGACGTAAACAACATGGGAGCATGGATCCATCCTGGCTTGTATCAACGGTTCAGGCTGGTGGGGTGGTGTAATGGTGTTGGGGACATTTTCTTGGCATACTACCAATTAAACATTGTTTAAGGCCACAGCCTACCTGAGTATTGTTGCTGACCATGTCCATTCCTTTATGACCACAGTGTCAGTGGCGACTCGTCATTAGGGGCAGGCACAGCCCCACCTAGTGTCAGCAGAAAGTAATGCAAATAATAATTCCCAGAATATGCAAAAGAAATACATGTTAAAATATATTTTAAGATCATGTTTAGTCATCTGATTCGTCTGTACATTGCTGTTTTAGTCTGCGTTCTTCTAATTAGTGACTACAGTGTGCCTATTGAGCCGTGTTGAGCAAGCCCCTCTCTGCTGTTAAAATGAACGTGTGCTGTAAAAACTACACTGTGCATGCTCAGAGTATTTTTCTATTCAATGTGTGCGGCAAAAGAATAATCACCATAAGGGCAAAGTGCTGGCATACAAACGTCGTCTCATAATTCAGAGAGCTGATTGGCTGTAAGTATGTGTGCCGCAAAAAGTGTAGATGTGAAGAGGAGAGGAGAGGAGCAGTTTATAGCGATTAAAATCAGTGAAACGGAAAGAAAATGAAGTTGACCATCTTCAGCTTTGGTAAGTTCATTTTATGTCATATCTGTTGTTGATCTTCTGTGTCTTGCCTATAGCCTATTGCTCTGCTGTATCGATTGATATTGTGACCTCGGTGATGAGTCTGTTTTCCTTATATCCCCCCCCCCTCCCCCCTCTCTCTATCAGAACCATGGATAGCCTACAGCTATTTGTTGACGTGTTTGAAAAAGCACCAGAAGCTTATATACACATCTAAGTTGTTCGTGCCCCACCACTTTTGTACATATAAAAACGCCACTGCACAGTGTACCCATCTTCTGATGGCTACTTCCAGCAGGAGATAACGCGTCACAAAGCTCCAATCATCTCAAAAAGGTTTCTTGAACATGACAATGAGTTCACTGTCACTCAAATAGCCTCCACAGTCACCAGATGTAAATCCAATATAGCACCTTTGGGATGTAGTGGAGAGGAGATTCGCATCATGGATGTGCAGCCAACAAATCTGCAGCGACTGCGTGCTGCCAGCATGTCAATATGGACCACAATCTCTGAGGAATGTCTCCAGCATCTTGTCGAGTCTATGCCACGAAGAATTAAGGGAGTTCTGAAGGCAAAAGGGTCTGACCTGGTACTAGCAAGGTGTATATAATAAAGTGGCTGGTGAGTGAATGTACTGTAGATCAAGGTTTTAAAACCCGACAATGCTACACCAGCTTTAAAACAAGACTTTATTAATTGCATATTCCAAACAGGATCAACAAACCAATAATAACAAAATCCACACAAAATGCTCTTTTCTGAGACATTGCAGGGTCTCCCGTACGTACAAAGCAAAGCCTCTTCTGCTCAACTCTTTGCAGAGACCCCGACATTAAAGCTGCAGTAGGAGGGTTCAGTGAGGGTGATTACCAAGACTCAAACACATGCACAAACACTTTGATTGGTCCTTTGGTCAAAACAACAATAAAACAAGATGTGGAAAACAAAACAAGTTTGAGGCCAGAGAACGGACAACCTCAATGTCAAAAACCCCAACCTTTAAAGAAAACTAAATCAATTCTGAACACGGGTCGAGACTCGAACAGCCCTGGTGAGTGTAAGATGACACTTTGACCGTCCCTCTTCTGCAGTTAGCTGTGAGGAAATGGAGCAGGGATCCACAAGGAGCAGTTTTAGATTCAATGCATATTTCATATAAAAGACTCTGAGGAGGGACAAGGTTATCTGTATTCATAGCTATTCTGGATTCCCATCCGTGTCAACGTGTGTGTATCTTTTACTGCATGTAGTGTGTGTGTGAGTGAGGCTCTCCAACAAGTAACAAAAATAGTGTATCATTACATAGTAGTCCTGAGATTTCCTTCTCCCCCATCCATCAGAAGTGAAAGGCATAAAACAAGGGGGCCTTGCTTTTTAAGTGCTTCTGTGCGACTCGTGTCTGTAAAGCGTCTCTGTACAGAAAGTGTCAGAGTTCATCCGATCCAGAAGTCAGGCGTTGCTAAGGAAAACAAACATGGCTCTTTATTCCAGAGGGATAACTCAAAAGAGAGGCCGAGCTTCCAGGAAGCGGAGGCCCATCGTTATCTGGGGGAGACGGGGGGGGCTGGAGAAGACTCCGGAGCTGCGGGGGGACTGGAGGCTGAAGGAGCGCGAGGGGGAGGGGGAGGTGGAGGTGGGGGACACCTTGCGGGGGCTGCTCAGGTCTCCGTTGTGCAGCTTCCACATCAGCTCCTCGTTCTCCATGGACAGACGCTTGTTGACCTTGGACTCCTTGTGGAGGGACTCCTGCAGCACCGCCTGCTCCGTGGACAGCTGTCTGAGACGCACACATACACAGAGGACACGTTAGACATGCTCACACCTTTAAAGACGTGAAGTTGATCGTTTTTCCCCCCAAATCTTATAAGATCCAAATAAACAACAAATGAATCTGTCTCTCAATAATGACTGATTTCCTTTTCCTGTTGGTTGCTCCCAGCCACAGACCCATTGGTTGCTACTGAATATGTACAGGTCATTCAAGCATTACTCAGTGCAGTAAATAGTGCTTTTGTTGTAGACACATATTCCACAATGAACTACAATGCCCATAGTCCACGAGGGAACCAGTGTGTTTTTTTTATTAACCCATGTGCGTCCTTAACTGACATGTTAAATGCCCTTTAGAGGTGTCCTCTGAGCTTAGAAAATAAATCTGAAGAAATCTTCAAAATTGGTCAAACTATTTGGCTGATTTTATTTTGTAAAACGGCAGTATTTCAGAAACTACGATAATCACAACAAATATCTATGAACTTAAAAGTTGAATATCAAAGATAGACACGTATATGCAACGTAAAAAACTATTGCAAAAAAAACATTTAGTAAAAGTAATGTTTACAGTTTTTGAAATTGTTCTAAAATCTTGATTTTTACTATGATAAAAGTGTGTTTTTTAACGTGTTCTTAAGTGTTATAGTAATAAGTGTTATATACTAGTACCAGATGTCAAGACTTTAGATCAATCAGAGAAAATGTGTGGCTTTTTTCAATATCATACTAAATATAATATTTGCAGAATAAAAGGTCAATGTTTTTTTTAATCTAATGCAGCTATGATAATGTAATATAATGTAATATAATGTAATACATGGCACAGACACTGAACAGTTGAGTGGATCAGAGGCGTCTGGTTTCCATCTCTACACAGGAGTGATCCGGTGCGCTGTTACCTGGACAGAGTGTAGTGTCTCTCCATGCGAGCCTTCAGGTCCTCATTCTCCTGCTGGACCTTCTGCAGGCTCTCATCCAGCTTCACACTCTTCTCCGTCTGGAAACACAACAAAACTAAAATAACTCAACCATTCTTCTGGTTGTTAAATGTCGGTTGCTCTTCAGTAATCCTCCTGATCATGTGCCTCACCAGTTTGCCGATCTCCATCAGCTTCTTCTCCTGCTGGTGCAGCTGCTTGTTTTTGATATCCAGCACCACTTTGAGGCTCTCCAGCTCCTGCTCCAGATAAAGGGTGTGGGAGTCCTTCTGCAGGGACAGAGAACAAGAGATGTTCAGGGACTGTCAGAACAATGAGTACAGCCAGGGTTGTTCATTTTATGTGGACATAAATCCAGAAACACACAACAGAGGGCGCCATGCATCAGGGACAACGAAGCTCTGGATGTTTAGCGGTCATAGCGAAGGGAGTGTTTAAACTCCTCTTTAAGAACAAGAAGGTGAGATTGAGCTGTTGCTTATGCAGCTCTCATCTTGTCCTATAAATAATGTGATGTAATGGCAGGGTAATGTGAGGTAGTAACATTAATGACTCTACTGTGCCAGAGCAGAAAGATGAGCAGCCACTTTACTCTGATGAAGAGCGGCATCCTCGCCAAACTGCACTCTGGGAAAATATTAATCTACACTCGCGGCAGAGAGGAAGGGCAGAGCTGTAGGTTAAGAGTTGAACCCACTCCTGTTCACGCTGTTAAAGAATGATTCATGATTAACAGTAATAACTCTTAACCACTAGGTGTTTGAACCTCACTGAGTGATATCCTCAGGGGACAACATGTATTATTTTTCACTTTCATGTAGTATATTTTTCATAGTGCTGGTCATAACAACTGAAGCATTTCAACCCTTTAAATGCCCATTTGTTCCCATAATCCCAACAATTAAAGAATTGGGGATTTCTTTATCAGTCTGGGAAATGTCTGTGATAAGCACCGTCCTTCATTTGGATGTATCTTTCTGTGGAAGAAACTAGCATTTATTTTTTTCAATAAGGGCAACGTGAACAAATGTTGTGGAAAATAGTAAAAAAAAAAATACACATTTTAGATTCATAATATAAAGCTTGCTATAAGAGAGTGAATCATTTTATGTTGTGGCATTTCATATTTTGGGGGGGGGGGGGGGGGGGGGGGGGGGGACACGACGACATGTTTATCCCTAAGGGTCTGACTATCTTTGTTTTGGCCGCACAGTTTATACTGTAGGAGCTGATGTTCAACTTCCAATATTTGAAAAAACAAAAAACAAACTTCACCCCGATGTCAAGATTGATGCCGTTTGCATTAACACAGCCAAAATATTTATTTTTAAATAACTTTTGTATTACGGTATTTATTTATTTTTGGTTAGTTTGTGTTTTAGGATCACTTAATGGACTGAACTGTCACTCGAGCAAAATGTAATATCATGTGACTACAAATAAAGAATAATACAAAAAAAAAAAAGCAGAGATGTACCCTAGTGAGGCACAAGAGAAACTGTGAGGTGTTAGTGTCTGCTGGTGGGTTATCTCTCTGCTATCGCTCCTGCTTAGAGGCTATCACTGGGTCATGAGATGCTCCTAAAGTGGCGCTCTGCTATAATAAGCACACGGATAAGAGGGGGGGGTACCTGACTCTTCTCAGCCAGCTGTTTCCTCCTGTTCTCCATGGGGGTCAGCTTCTCAATTAGAGCATTGTTCTCCGCAGTCAGCGCTTCAATCCTTCCCTGTGGACGGACGCAGCACAACAAAGTCTCAGAATACATTTGACACACTGTTGTATTGGTTTGTAAGTTCATTTATTTGATGAAAAAGGAAAAACTAAAAGTCAGTCTTACAGACAGAGTGTCTCCTGTCTCCTTCAGTGACGCGTCCAAAGACTGCAGCTCCTGGTCGTGGACTGTTCCGAGCTCTGAGGATTTATATCACATCAGAGATATTTCAGATATCTGTACAACAGAGCTCAAGGCTAAGAAGTGTCATGTTATTATGCAATGGAACAATGCACACATGTAATTGTAAACCAAGGTAGGAAATGAGAAGTTATATAAAGCCGAGGTTTTCTGAGCTTCAGAGCAGGAAGGCAGTTTCTTTTGGATCAGATGCACTTCTCTCACCTTGCAGGGACGCTTCATACTGCTGCTCCACAGACTGCAGCTGTTCTGCATGGCTGCTCTCCATTTCCTGCTTCTTGGACTCATTACTGGCTTTCAGCTCTTCCATCTTTAAAACAAAAGAACACAGGGTAAATATTAGGCATTACTGTTCAATGCAATACTTAAGATGTGTGTTACTCTTTTTCTCTTAAGGCACAGAAAAGATGAAATAAACATTGACATTTTAACGCTACAATGACAGTATATATATATAATATAATGAACGTCCCACCCTCCACTGTGGTCTGAGCCTTTACAGGGAGAGCGGCTTTCAAACTAATTCAATTCAACTAACAAGACAAGAGGATATACATGAAGAGGCAATACTACATTTTCCTCGATATATTATTATTATTCAAATGTACAAAAAATATCATAATAAATTATCCATATGCAACGTTTTATATGATAGCTCACGAGAAGTTCTTTTATAATTGTTGGCGTATTCTCTCATGAACGTTGAGCAGTTCAGAAACTAGAAAATAAAAGTGCTGTTCAGTTACGCAACAATGAACAAAAATGATCATTTTCTCCCTAACCAAAAACTTAAGTATGTGGCGCTGATTACAAAATGAGTTCTCGGCACATCTTGGGGCAAGTATATTTAAATAACACATTTCAACAACAAAGAAAGTCAAAGTGTATTAGAACATAGTGCAAAAGAAACACACTTAAAAAAGCTAAGAGAAAACCATTTAAATACAGCAAATAAATGTAAAAGAGGTACAGGAATAATAAATAGCGGTGTAAGATATTAATAGTCATTGGATTTAATAAAATACCTAGTTGCATGTCCAAAAAGGTCATCAGTAACCTTATCTAAGTATCAAAATATAAAAGTAATGTAGCCTAATGTAATTGTAATCAATGTGAACTTCTTTTCGTAAACTGATTACGTAATGTGGTTAAATGTAATCCGTCCTCCCCAGGCCTGATATAACTCTGTGCTGCAGGTTGTGGTTCAGAGGACCGACCTGCTGCTGCAGCAGGGTCCGGCTCCTCTCGCTCTCCTCCTGGTGGCTGAGCTGCACCCGCTCCCACTCGGCCTGGTAGAAGGCCTGCAGCCTCTGCTCCAGCTCCGACAGGTCCTGCTGGTGCTGATCCTGCAGCTTCTGCAGCGCCTCCTCCAGGGACGCTCGCAACTCATCCCGCTCCTTCTCCAGACGCTCAGACGAGTGCACGGAGCAGACTGGAAACAGAAAAACTTCAACTTGAGTTTTTTTTAATCTTAGTAAAGATAGTAGCTACTATGTAGCGATCTCTAAGGACATCATTCCAGCTTTGTCTGTGGTTAAACACAAGCCTTTTTCATTGAGGTTTTACCTTTAATCTAACACAGTTGAGCCCTTGTGTTACTATGCAAACATAAGAGTTTTGAGAGTGACGGTTTCTAGGGGTTTTCTGGTTGAGTTTCTAGCTGGTTAATAAATGACACAAGTTCTTTGTCAAAGACAGAAGATGTTTGTCCCTCTCAGGTCACCAGTGTGAACTCATTTGGTGATTTCATGCAGCTTTCTAGACTGTAATACTCTGTAATTGGACAGAGGAAAATGTCTATTAGTAACTGCTTAGGTAAGAAATGTGATCCATCCACTGAGGAACTAGCAAAGTTCTGCCTTGATGTTAATGTGTGACACTAAATGTGCTCCAACAAGGAATGGAAAAAGTGACTTTAGAGGGGAGGGTCCTCTTGCACTTGACTGCATGTGCCAACTACACTGCAGTTATTAAAAGGCAGATGAAGATGAGTCTCTTAATTCCTTCCCACTATCTTGAAATCAGTATCATAAGTGACATACCCGTACATCAGGAGTCTCTTCCTCCCTCTCCAGCTGGCAGAGTGCCATGTCTATGTTTATGCAATAGGTGGCCTTAGCTTTTGTTCTGTAACCCAGTCTCACTATTTCTCAACTGTTTCCATTGCCAAGTGCTTGGGTCAGCACTGGAGTGGGTGGCAGAGACCAACTCCATAACCTCTCTCTGGTTGAAGTGCTGGTGCCAAAACACAGCCAGCCAATGTTAACTTCCACTCATTAGTGAACTAACACTGATGGAGTACAGTAAGAAGAACAGCTCTCATGTATAGCAGGTTATTTTGGTCTCAAATACATGATGTGACGATAAACCACATTGCAGTTGAGACTATGTGAGTCTTTAATAGTGGGCGTAATATAATACTGAACCCAGATGTTGCTCTGCTATGCTACAACATGTGTGGCAGGAACATTCAGTGCTCTCATAAATCATCAGAGCAAAAATAAAGGTACATAATACAAGTCATCTTACAGTCCTGTTCTAGAGCACAGAATAATGATAGTGAATAAAGAGATAATGATTGTGGTTACCAAAAAGAAGCAGAGGGAACGCCCTTTCTTAGCATGTCAGAAGAAGGAGAATAGGATCAATTAGGAAGACGATAAAGGAGGAATATTTAGAAGTAGAAGAAGATAAAGGAGGAAGAAGTAGAAGTAGAACAAGTAGACCATTTATTTATCCCCAAGTTGTTCAAATTCAGTTCAGGATCTATACACATTAGGTCTGAATACATATAAAACATGTTTCTGTTATGTAAAGGTTTCAGAGTTTCAGTTTTTCAGAGGAGGTGAACTGGCACATCTCCAGCTACCAGTCCACACTCAATCAGTATTGGTTTGGGTCCAATCGGGACTTGAACCGTCCTTTAGTTCCCAGGTCAAGTCTCTACAGAATGAGCTGCCGCCCCTTTAGCACATGATGTTTCCCATTTTAGCCATGAGGGCCACATGCTGTAAAAGTTGTTTATAGTTCAAACTGATCTGAGTTAAGGGTTGCAATAACGTTATTTTGAACAACTTCACAGACAAATAGTTGAAAATCTTGATACATCATAATTGACATTCTTATTGGATGTATACAGTTCCAGAGTCTGTGTTTCTGAACGGCTAAAACAGAGCTGCAGTTTAAACTCATGCACCTCATGAGCATGAGGATTCACCTCAGTGAGAGTGGAATGAGCGATCCAGGAACAGTGGCCAAGCGGACATAGAGACTATCTATCAGGCTAGGGTTGGCATGTACGGCTCAACATGTGCAACAGAGATCTGGTCATATGAGCCTTTTCTAGTCCAAATCCACACAGCAGAAACACCTCATGCCTCATTCTGGGGAGGAGGCCTAGTTCATCTAAAGTTAGCTGCAGTTTGGCCCACAGTCAGGAATGATAAAAGGGGGTGTGGTCCTATCACAAGTTTGGATGTGGTCCAAGACTGTACTGTATCGCTGTGTGAGGAGAGATCCCTGTGGAAGCACTCTCAAGAGGAAATAAAACTAAAAGCGGACTTATAAATGTGTCTGGATATCTAAACATCTTTTACTACTCATGAATCAAAGGTTAGTGTACTATAGGAAAGAATGTGTTAAAGCTCAGATATAACAGCGCTCAGCGTATAAGAGCAGTCATGTGGAAGTCCCGAGGCTGTGAGGTGGGGGGGGGGGCGGCACAACAATAGGGCTGACCTAAGTATGTGAGTGTGAGAGTGATGAAATGCATGTGGCCGTAAATATAAGGCTATTCTGTGGGGCAGCTCACAGGCTGGACAGAGAACACGGGTCATTAACTCAAAGCCTCCACCAGGCCTCAGGTGGTGGGGCATTCCACCACGGGGGGGGGTCAGAGGTCAGAGTGCCTCTCCCTGGGGAAAGGGCTGACACCGCACTGCTCAGCGACACTTAAAAAACACACACTCGTGCCGTGACAGATAGGCATGTGATTACTAGTGGAGGAAAAAGCAATTAACAAGTGGAGGAAGAACTACAGGAAAAACAAAAAGTGATTATTTTAACTGGTATTGGAGTGGTTGTGATCATTTTTCCGTCATTTTAACATTGAACAATATATATTAACTGATCATTGTGTGACTTTTTAGCGGACTCTTGTAAAGAGTGTAGAATTACATTTGTACGGTGGGATATCTCTGCAGCTCCACAATACTTAATTTAAAATAGTATTCAGCCTTCAAGAAATATTTTGCTTCTGGCTATTTGGTTATTACATTAATCCATTTTGTGATTTTTAAGAAATCTTCAATTAATTGTGCAACCCTAGAAACTCTCATATTTCATTTAAGATGGGAACATATCTGACATATTGTATTTTTATATAATTAAATAAAGACTGTCTTGTGCAAAGTAATAAGTAAACATAAGAGTCCTTGTCATCAAATGGCCAATGACTCAGATCTTTAACTACATTAGACACAGCAATCAAATATTGGAACCAAGTAAACAACCAAAGACTCATGATGAAAAACAATTGTTCCTCATTCTCTAAAGTTAAACAAACGAGATCCAAAGTGCTTCCTGACTTGTCATCCTAACTGAATAATATAAAAGGACACACTCTTATCAGAAAGGAGAACTAAAAGCAGAGCAGGAGTGTGTGCTTTGCTGATAACAACTTTAAACACAGCCAGTGTGTGTGACCAAGGTGACCTCACTTACCCAGCTCTCCTTGAAGGGTGACCAGCTCCTGGGAGAGATCCCTGCACTGCCGTGTGGCTTCATCACGCTGCGGGGGGGAAAACAAACAGTCATGCACATGTTCATGCAGGTTTCTGACATAAATCATCACAGTTAAGATCACAAGGCCAGCATAATGACTCTGTAAGGTTCATTCCTATATGAAGGAAGGTCCTGACAGGGCAACTCCCGACACAGATTCTCCTTCCAGGGTACTGTGTTTGAATACCAAATGCAAATAAATTACAAGCACCAGAGGAACAAGGGAGGGGGATTATGGAAAATAGACATTCAACTCGTGTTTTCACTCGGAGCACATGCCTGCTGTCAGCTTTCGCTTCTCTCATTCTGACTCAGATTTGCAGTAAAGAGGAGGCTGCGCTGAAACTGCAGTGCTCCTTAATCTAGGGGAGACTCCAAACTGACGCATCCAAACCCAAAAACTGTAAATACGACTCTCTGCTGATTCATTAAGAGCCTGGCACTAACTGTCATACAGCCTGCATAATTAAATCATGAACCAGAGAGGAAATAGAAAGAAAGACAAGCCCAACATGTCTTCACTGATTAGTGTAAACAGAAACAAACAGTATTCCTCTCTGTCCTGTTAAAGCTCATATTCCTCACTGCAGATAGAACAATGTAGAAGCCAGTTACCCTCTCTGCAGCGTATGGGGCACTAAGGCACGCTCTGCTGCCAGAACAGCCCATGATCCAGCCTCAGCCTGAGGATCGGTAGCGGGAGTCCCCCCCCCCAGCTACAGAGACCCAGTACTCCAGGACAAACGGCGGTCCAGGTGGACACACCACCTCCACACGCCTCCTCCCAGACTGCTCTGACTACATCTGAGGCAGCACTGAGAAAGCCGCTGGCTGTGGAGAGTGACTGCAGAGTGCATTACCGTAATACACCTAAAAAACACACAAAGGGGGCAGGCTACAGTGCGCAGAGGACAGCCTCCTCCCGGCGAGGTGGGGTCACTTTAAGGCAGCAGGAGTGGAGCAACCATACATTGTACAGAGCTGCCTGACATTAGATGGAGCAGGGCTTGTGCACTGACCTCCCCCAGGGGATACATGGTGAGGCTTTATTACCACCATCCTCCCCCACTACTCATCCAAACCCACATCCAATCATCCCCTCACCCCTCTGCATCACCACCTTACGATAAGCTCTGCAGCTACAGGATCCATGAGTACTGTTTCTCCATTGCAAGATGATATCATGCTGACAGATCACATGTTACTCTGAAATGAATGTAACTGTTTTATTGTTTTAAACCAAAGATAACATTTATGTCCTGGGACCGTTGGGGTTGGTTTAGTTATTTTATTATAATCGTTCTGTATAATACATATATTCTCTACAGTTGTAGACATGTTTGTAAGATATATTTTAAATATTTGTTGTCTTGTGTGTAGTAGTCTATTCTCAAGCTTGGGATAGCTTTTCAGTGCGTGTTTGTGAATAGAATTCATTACCTTTGTTTCTGTGTGAAAGTATAGAATTAAAGAATACTGTAATTTTCTGATTAACCACCTTAGTTATCATGCATCCGACTTCATTAGAAAGAGCACATGTTAACCATCTTATAACTCAGCCTATGTAACTCTAAGGGACATCTATCCAGGAGCAAAGAGCAGACATGTCCCCGGTGTATATCAATATGATACCATGTCAGGTGTAGAATAACGCTTGATGGTAGACGGAGATCAATGTCTAATTGCCTCTGATCAAGTTACAAGTTCCTAGAAATATTGTGAATTTCAAGGAGAGGTAAAGTGAGATTGTACATTTGGAAATGTGCTTGCATTCCTCCGCTGAAGAGCAACGTGTTTCACAGCTTTTGCTCTTTGAGAGAAGGTATGTCTAACCAGGTCCAGAGCTCACACACTGCATCCAAACACATGATAAGAAACAGAGCTCTGCCCTTGGTGAGCGTTTGGCTGCTGTTCATCGTAACCATATCAAGTCAACAGCTGGGACATTCTCACACTATGTTGAGGAGCTGCTGCCTCCTATTCTTGGGCTGATGAGTGACCACCAGATTCCATTACACACTGCATGCACACAATACTTGGGTATTACCACACGTGAAACACGGTTACTCTTGTGTGCCGAGATGATGGCTTGAAATCAAATGCAAGTGATGTGTGTTTTATAGGCTGAATATATGAATTGGAATCATTGGTTCCAGTGGAGGACATACTGCGGTTGAAGTTGAGTCAGCCGCTCTCAATGACAGAGGAACAAACATGTTGTGTTTTTAATATTTGTTGATGTAATCAGTTTCGCAACCCTGCCCCCCTAACATGGGAAATGAGTCAAACAACCACCAGCTGTCACATGACATGAACCAGTCTCATACATTTAAAAAAAAAAATCCAGCGTTGTTTTGCACGACTGCACATATGCATCAGTCAATACCATCCACACCATTCTCAAAAAATAAGTTACTACTGGCTTTCTGGTGCCTGGAATGTTATTGGCGGCCCGTGGTTGATGGTGTTGAAGGTTCCTAAACATCCAAGGAGCAAATGTCAAAATATCTTTGACACTTGACTGCATAATCAGGATAGCTTTATATTTTGGGGCGGTGCAACTGGCAGCAGAAGACACCACAGAACTCATTGAAGCAATCTGAGGCTAAAATTGGACTGATATGAACTGTGTCACAATCCAGAGCACTGCCACAAGGGATGTGTCTGGTGTCAAACTCTGAAGTAAAACAGTTGCTGTAATGTAGGCCAAAGGAAACTAATTCATGGGTTATTTTCTATATTTTGACTTAAAGGACTGACATCCCTTTGTTTTTTGACCACATGTTTCATGTTAGAAGCTAAGCTAATCAGTCGTTTCCTTTCCTCCGGAGTCCTTATGATGCTTGGTAATAAATCACAAGGATAGGCATTGCTAGCAAACAACCGCGTTTCACTTCACAGCAGCAAGAACCCAGAAGGAGTCCCTACAGCAGCAACACGTATTTGATCCCTGACCCAAAAACAATGCCAATGTGCAGGTGTGATGGCCCTTTCTGCTAAGCTATGCGCACCACAGCTGCAGTAGGGTTGGAAACAGGGTCCTCCCTTTCCTCTGCCCCTCCCCCTAAAGCTATCGTTTCTGCAGTTCAGGGATGCTAAAGTGAAATAAGATTTATGGGTTCAAGCAGGTTGATTTTACAGCCCAGTGGCTGGCATTTGATGGATTTGGCCTCCACTCCCTGTGCTGATGTGTCAGAGGGGGAGCATGTCAGACAAGGTCCAGTGGAATGCAAAGGAACGAGGGCAAGTTCCCAGCGGCCTCTAGAGGGAAGTCCTGGCAGGTCTGATGGCTGCCCCTTGTGTAAGTGTTTGTCCATTTGTCAACTCTAAATGTTTTTATTTAGTCTTATTGTTATGCAAAATGTCTTTGTTAGTTTGTATCATATCAACAGCAAAGGAAATTTAATTTCTGCATTGAAAACAAGTCTTAAATAAATGTTCTCCCCTCTTGTCAACTAAATATTTTCTGAAAGCTGTACCTCAGTGCAGGTTTTTTCCAACCTTTTGTGTTATTATATATTTAGTGATAATAGTTGGAATGTTAGAGGGGGAATTTCACTGACATGATCTTTTTCAGATAGAAATCGATATTGGTTGGTTTATCAAGTGTTTCTTTAATAATCTATGCACATCTCAGTGCGCTGATGAAATGCTTCCTCTCTAACAATAGGCAATGCAATAGGCATTATGAGCCAGGGGATAATGAAGAGTGGAGGAAGAGATCAAATCCTACATACAAGACAAATCCCTTCTGGACATCATACTATCAATCATTTTTAGAAATAAACAGCACTGTACCACAGTACCTAGTGTTTGTTATACATAGAAAACAACGTTTTATGGTTTCTTATATACATTTCTGAATTCAGAAACAACATACTTTTTCTCGAGTCAAAATGACTAAAATGTAACAAATTGAAAAGAAGGCGACACTTCTCAACACTAACATTACTGTGTTTATGATATCTGGACGAGTGGTGTACTCCAATAAAGTAAAGACAAGGCCCTAGTGTTAGAGCCACTTAATATCATCTTATGTCCTCATGCATATTTGGTTGGTACATTCCAGTTGTTCCATCAACACATGTGGTGTGAAAAGATTTGACAAGGGCCCTTCTAAAGTTAACAGGGAGACTGAAATAGCTGGTGGCATTTCATGTGCTCACAGGGTATCTGTTTTATTCTTCTAGGTTTACAGGAAAACAAAGATAGGAATCTTTTCCGACTGCATGGCGTCATTTTAATTCAATTCTATAATTCACTTGTATTAGCTTGTAGGGCTACTGATTAAATAAACTTAAAAGCAAGCAGCAAATCGTATTTTTGCTTGGAGTACAACTCAATGAGGGAGTATGGCGGTATGGTTGGCTGATAGGATAAGCCTGCTTGTACTGTGCTGTGCGAAAGATTAATCCCTTGGGGCATCTAGTTTCTGGAAGCCAATCACATGGCACTGCTATTAAAACCGATCCAAAACAAACAGCAAGTTCAAACATCCATATTTTTAAAGGGCTCTCATGCGACCTGAATAACATTCAAATGTATGAAACATACAACTGAGCTTCAAGTTCATCTTCCCAAGAACAAATCATGCTGCAATAAAGATGAATTATTACATCCAGGATTGCTTCAGTTGTTCCGTGCATTACAGCAACAGGGCTGTTTTGTGTTGGACAGCCTTCAAGTATGTCTATGACTGCAGCCCTCCGTACCCTTACAGTCACCCTCATGCTGTTTCTGGAAATAGAAATGCCATTTGGCTTGCCTCGTATCAACACACAGGACATGATGTTGCAACACTTGTAGTTATGTCATTAAGATCATTTCAGACTTACCCCCGTACATTCAGGCTATGTTGGTATTTTGCTAGCATTTGACAAGGTTTTAATCCGTATGTTAAAGCTTAGACTTAGTACTTGCAATTCTGTATACATATTTGATGGATATAAACAGTAGGATTCCTCAACGAGAGCTGTCTGCTTTATATATATATATTGAATATTCCTTTTTAAACCAGGCAACCTAGTGTGATAACATTAACCAGTCTAATCTTAGCTGCATTACAGTAGAAATTGTACAACAACAATCCCAAACTGAACATGGCCAGCAATTTCCAGAATTATCATCTTATCAAGAATGCACTGAGGTAGAGAGATATATACTGTATTTTCTATCAATCCATTTATCTAACATCATAAGATTTTATTTAAATATTCTCTATACATGTCCAAAAAAAGGTCAGTGACAGACTACCCATTGCGGTAATTGTGCAATATGCTTAATTATGTCTTCTCTTTGTACACATTAGATCATTTGCCGGGACAAATCATTTGAAGAGTCCAATATAACATTACAAAAAATGCAATTTCCTAAATAAAAAAGATTCCTACCTCAGCTAAAGCTCGCTCCAAGACGATGGAGACAGCATCACATTTTCGGTTACTCGCTGCCAGGAGTCCTCTGAGCTGCTGGACGTTCTGGTCCTTCCTCCCCCCCTCAGCGATACTCGCTGGCACCACATCCGGGGGTCCGCTGCGCTGGCTCGGCTGAGACGTCGGCTGCTGCTGCTGGCGGGAGGCGGCCTTCGGTTTGTTATTGTCCACTGTGAAAGAACGTGTGTTGAGTGTTGTGACAACGTTGATCATCATCATACCCCACTCCAAAACCGGTAAGCTGTTCTGACAGCAGCACCCCCCCCTCCAAACCTTATTTACTCCTGTGAGGGTCACGGATGCAGCGAGCTCCAGTGTCAGAGACAGGGATATTTCTGCCGTCTGTCCAATAAGAGAGCCTGAGGATTCTCAGAGCTGCTCCTCCGACACAACACATCCTCGATGCAATTAGTTTTCCATATCCTAATTCAATCTAGTGATGCAGATGCTGGCCCCCAAGGACAAACTATTTTAGCAACACCCTGCTAATGTAGCTTTGGTTTACATCAGCTTTATAAATACCTTAACCCCATACAACAGCTTCCATCAATAGTTTGTTTTCTCTGACACAAAACGGCAACTTCCAAACATAACTTTTACAAACTGAGTACCGAGGACACGAGGGAAGAAAATAACTTCTCCTTGAAATTAGACACCTGTTTCTTGTGTTTGTTTGTGAGGAGACTGCAGCGAGCGTTATGTAACACAGCAGTGAGAAAAGCCTGGGTCATATGGGGAACACCAGTGAGTGGAATATATCGTACCACCAGAGGCCCGTGGCATTACTCACTCTGCTCTGTCTGTCTTTTATGTAAGAGCCATTAGTGCCAATAAAGATGAATACGCAAAAACACAAATATTTACATAATTTGATGTCAAACTGGAAAATTAAAACCACACTAAATCTGTTTTTAAAACATATAGTGGTTGAATAAACCACAGTGTTCTCCTCTATAATACAACCCATGCTCATGAAGCTTTTATATTCATGTCCTTTATGAAGCACATAACCTGGAGCACATTCAAGTTAAATTTAGATTGCACTAGGCAGGGTGTCATTTTATCCCAGAAGGACCCTTAGAGACAGAACTCCCACAAGGACGTTTACATAAGAAAATAATGTGTGTATTAGGCCTGTAAGTCAGATCTGCAGCACAATTTGACAGATTCTTCCTTGGCCCACGCTTCACCAATGTTCATGAAAATCAGGCGAGTTGATTTGTATGTAATCCTTCTGACAAGCAAGCAAACCAAACTGAAAAGCTTGGCTGTGGTAATAACACTAGCATGTACAGTCATTGTGGGATATCTAAGCAAAGTCATGCTGTATTTACTTGGATACCTTTCAAAATAACACCCTGCAGTTTCTATTGGCAGAGAAGGTATTTATTCTAACCAGAGGAAGTATGTTCCCTTCCTTCAGCGGATCCAGGAGCAGGGGCGACATAATACTGCAGAGGGAATAACACTCCAAGCTGGCAATACCCACAGAGGGAAAACTGATGTAATGAACTGAGAGGGTAAACACACTCAAGCTGTAGAGTTACCGAAGCAAAACAAAAACCTTCTACTTGAGTACAAAATGGTTAAAAGTCAGTCTTAAGTTGATACAGCTCCGTATCAGGATGTGCGGTTCCCCTCAAAACTAGTTTCTCCCTGTGTCTCTCAGCCAAAGTAAACAGTTCCAGCATAAAACACAGCGCCGCCTTCTAGTCAAACAAAATAAGACACACACCTGCAGTATATAACTATAAGTGAATTTGCAAATGTTGTTGCCTCTTTAAATTTGGTGAGCAGTTTGAAATGAATGTTACTAATGTGTGTGGGATACAGGACACAAATGTGAAACAGATTTCCATCTCAATGTCCTGACTACATCCTCCTCTTATTGTTATTCATACACTCATTTGAACTCCACTTTCTTTTTTTTGCCTCATATATAGTTCATCAGTACAGAGTGATAAACGTCAAAGTAGAAAGTCTCTCTGACACAGATCCAAACTCACAGTGGATCTGTGTTGCTCAGCTTTCAATCGTTTTGAAGATGCTGCAGTTCACTAAATCTTAAAAGGTTTTTTAAAATGAGGACGCCCTCTGCTGGCTGTGCAGAGAGCGTAAGGGGACGCCATGTCCAGCTGCATCACAGCCAGCATGCACCACTAACATGCCTGCATACAGAATGAAGCCCAATGACTCAGGCTGTCAAACTACTGCACATTGGCACATTGAACTACATTTGTAAACAAATATATTGTGAAGATAAGTAGTTGTTAGTAAGTAGAACTAAAATCTCTTTTCTCTGTAATGTAGTGGTATGCAATTAGGGCTGCACGGTATGATGATAATACACGAGTTATACACAGGTAAGGTTGTGTTTTGTTTGTAGCATATCCAGGAATATCAAAGTGGAAGATAATATTATTCATCATATTACGTCCACAGTTTTCATCAATTAATATGACCAGAGCAAGGTAAGGAACAAATATGCAACGGTGTTTTGAATTTCAAAGAGAACTTTGATGTTACAGTATGAGAAAATGCTGTTGAAAGAATAAACTGATTTCAAAGTCTACTCTTTCTTGTCGGCTGCTCTAAGAATGCTGATAAAAAATAAAAGTATACTAATAAAATACAAGAAATTCTTTGTTGTATAAAAACAAATTAAGGAAATTATTGACAATACTCTTTTACAGAATAAATTCAACATTGCACTGAACAAAAGAGGCACCAAAAACGGTTCAATTTAAAAAAGTAGGTTTCTAATGATACTCTTCTTGAACTAAGTGCCAATAAAACAAATCTGAGTGCAATATCGCAGTCTTTCAACATCAACATGTGAACAAAAAAACGATATATTATGCAGCCCTGCATGTAATGATTTATATGTAACAATTAATGTAATGTCTTTTCATAAATCTTGTTTTTTGAACTTGTTGCAAAATGTAACTACTGTACACTCTACACACTACACACACTGTATAGAGGAACTGGCAAAGACATCTTTACACTTATGTTTTTTGCCTGCAAGCTGTCATCTTCTGCTCGTTTCCAGAAGACTAGAACTGGACATTATGCAACACATTTCTGCTGAATCTAAAAAAAAAATGATCTCACCTTGTTAAATAATTCAAAATGGTCTAAAGATGTGGTCGGTTCAGAGATGTATCTTGTAGATAGAGAATATGGAAATTCACTGGTTTCCAGGGCTACAAACTACAATCCTGTACATGTTTTAATCAGAAAATCTTTTGAGAGCTGCCCAGTATTATTTAATTAAGTAATCACTTATCAGAACATTTTGGCCACATATCTGGCTTTATTATCCAATACAACTGTGCAATTTCATTTGAGTTAGACGTTATATAAGCACGCAGGTCGTCTCTCCCTTTGACCGCTCTTCCATGGCAACAGAGGACCTGCAGCTATTTTCATCAAAGTGTCTGAACACAGCGATGATGACACATGTTGCCTTCTTCATTTCTCTCCTCCCATGCACAAAGATGCATTTAATGTAACAATTCAACATCACTGTACACTTCACATCAAACACTGAGTGACTTAGTAACTCCGTAGCAGAGTGCTGTGCTGCTATAAGGGGATATCACACCATAGCACAAAGCATGATGGGTGATGAAACCCTTCACAATCAAGCACTTGTTTTAGTGCTTTTGTTGACACAATACCAATAACGGTTACACACTGGACACTTGTATTGCTTTGTTTAAATAAGATATAATCCCATTTTGTATTTAAAACCCTTTGAGACCCTAAAACAGGATTACCATATAAGGTCATAACCTTTAAAAAAAATAGGAGAATGGTTTGCATTATGTGGAAACCACAGGAAGCGTCTGCCTTCCCACAATCCCGTTCAACAATCAAAACAAGGTTCCTGTAGCTTGACCGAGAAACCAAGAACCAAAATAACCTTGGTTCATCTCAGGGTGAAACAGGAGCACAGGGTGTCACTGTGAGCAAGTGCATTCTGACAGTCATAAAAAGGTGGCCTCAAACATAATACAACGGTGTTTAAATGTCAATATGGCATTAAAGGAGACCAATCGGATGTTTAGTTTAAATACAATTATTCCTGAAATCAAGATTCATATCGTTCCATATCATACAATACCTTTGCTCAGGGTTACATCTTTTGGTGAGCAAGGTGGGTAAATGAAAGATGAACCTCCTGCTTTGCCAACTAGTAAATACTAGCCAGACTAAAAATAGAGTTCAGGTCGACGTGAGAGGCAAACACTGGTAGGCTAGGCTTAAATACTACAGAAGAGAGAGCAAAACCCATAATAACGTGGGTAGAAATATTCAATATAAAATAAGTGACAAACCTGCTTTGAAAACCACCGTGTTCTTCCTGCATCCTGATAGCAGCTGAAGGCTTCGGAGTAAACCCTTGGCTGTCAGACGCACGTGGATGTTGGACAGGGAGAGCTTCGGAGACCACAACATCTCTCAAAAATAAAGCAGGGTGTTTTTATCCCAAAAAAAAAAATTGAGTTTCTTAACTAAGAAGCTTGATGCTGGCTATGAACCACATGCCATGGTGTGCCTTAGTGTATCATGAGTTAAATGATAGCAGGACTGACCGGCAAACAATAAATCCATCAATAAAAAGCAGTAGTGAGAGCTACTCCGCTGAGACGGCCTTGAAAAAAAGTGAAGGCACCCAGTTCAGCATGGCAGGTCACCCGAATTTAAATCTAAATCCAGCTGTGAAGGCTGGCCAGCGGTGTGTGGCACAGGCTGATAGATGTGATCAGGGCAGGGGGAACACATCAAATCCTTTAATCCTCTTGGTAAAGCCAGGCTATTCACCAAACACATGAATCTCTGTCAGCAGAGCAAAACAGCATCTCCAAGCTCAATGATGGCGGTGCTGTGGCAGAGCCAGGATGCTCGGAAGAGAGCAGAGGGGGTTGGGTGGGAGGAGCTGACAGCAGCAGTGCAGCCAATGGGAATGTAATCCAGCCCCCCCACTCTGCCGCTCATTTACCGTGTCCCTGTGTCCCCAGCAGTGGGATGGGAAAGGATAACAGACTTATCGTGGCACGGTTTTGTCTGGTGAGCTGCTTAGCTGGCACTGTGAAAATGTGTCTGCAGGCATGACTGGAAATCAGTTTTTTAATCCAAGAGTCAAAACAACGTGCCGACTAATTGAGTGTTATATAATGCAGCACGTTTATCATCTAGTTTCCGCAAAACTGTGCACTCAAGGGGGCTGTAATGACACTTTAGAGCACTGTAGAAAAATATGCATCACATTAACTGTGAGCAGCAGAGAGCAACACACCCAATAAAGCACACATTACAACTGTAGTGTGATTGGGTTTACAGGAAACACATGTGGTCACTGATAAACACCAGAACTTGAATGTTCTGGTAAAAAAGTAAGCACAAACCATTGGATGGTTTCACAAAAATAGACTTTGACTGCAGCCTAGATCAAACTAATTGTCAGACCCTAGATAGATGATCTAATTTAATATGTTGATTATTAGTAATTTACCAAGAAATTAAGACTTCATAAAACTACAAAACATGACTGACCGAACGATTGTATCAAACTGCTCGCCATGTTCGAAACACTATTTGTATTTCTTGGAAGAATGTTGTTGGCAGTGAATGGAGTCTGTAGACATTACTCTGGGCTTTAACAAAAAGGGGCTTTTACCAACACAGAATGTTTTCTTCAGGTAAAAACAATTAAAGAAAATAAATGTATTAATACAATTTTATATTTTTAAATAGGTGCTAAATAAATGATAAGGCAGTAGAGGACACTGCTCTTTGAACAAATAATTACCTTTAAACGGGCGAACAGAGTTAGCACATTCACAATACAGAGGTTTAAATTGCATTGTTATACTTAATACTTATTATAGAAAGCGAAATGACCAGTATCTCCTGAATTCAAACCTTTGACAAGTCATCTCAATGGAAAGGTAAGAACACAGATAATACACATGTTAAATCCAATGGAAACAACTCTTACCGGGTCCGTTTGGAGTTGGACGAACAAGTCTTGCAGAAGCGGTCCTTTTTAGAGGACTGACTGTATCATTTGAAGCGCCTCTGATGCTGAAAGCGGAGGCAGGTTTGCATGCTGCGGTCAGAGCTGAAACAAGCAGAAGATCCAGGTGAGACACGCAGCTGGAGTTCAACTGACCCATGGTGGCGCATCAACTGACATCTGACCGCAAACCAGAGGCAGCTTTTAAACTAGTTAATGAGGATTGATCAAACAGGCGGTTTAACTGAAAAACAAAGATACCACTACTATTTGATGTAGATTGAAAATAAATTCAATCAACATCAAATGTCCCTCGGCAAACATGATGAGCACACAATAACAACAACATTAGGGAGGAACAGTAGCTTTTTGTAATTGAATGTTTGAGTTTAATCACTTTTAACACAAGTCAGATTTTACAGGTCTGTTTTCTTATCAAGTGTGAGGATTTGCCAGTGATTAAAGTTTAAAGATCAATGGGGTCAGACTCACATTTACTCTTGGAATAAGAATTCAGAAAGGTAGAGCTAATTCTGATTCAAATGTAAGATCAATGGCTGGGATATATATTGACATATCAATATTGTGATACAAGACTAGTTATTCTCTTAGATTTTAGAATCCGTTATATATATATATATATATATATATATATATATATATATATATATATATATATATATATATATATATATATATATACATACATACACACACACACACACACACACACACACACACACACATACACACACTATTGTTGTTTCCTGATTTTAACATTACAGTCAAGTTATATCATATTTTGAACTCACCAGACTTGTTGCCTTTCCATTATTTGCCTTTACACACTAAATCCACATTACTGGTGGTTATTTTTCAACATTCTCATTGTGTAAATGTTCTTCATTAATGAATCACCCTTTGATGAGACAACTAAAATAATAAAATAGAGACATTTCCAATATCTCTAAAAGAAAAGTGTCTACGTATGAAGTACGAACTAAATGTGTGAGAATATGATGTGATGGTTTTATAGCATCCAATAGCTAGATATTCATTTATTTATGTTAAATACTAGTTGGAAGCTTACCATGTTCAATTGTAAAGAATAAAGCAATTTCTTTGTATTCTATAAAAGTCCATTGAAATGCAATGTCAATCTACTTACAATAATACTAATGTCATGTAAAAGTATAATCATATAATGATCATTTCTCAAGACATGAGGAAAAAAAGAGACATGATTGTACAGGAAAAGATAAAGGAGAAGTCTGTCTGATAGTAAATGCTGAGTGTGCGTGCGTTATCTCACGTGGTCCAGTGTTTTTCCCATGAGTTGTGAAGAGTCTAGCCTTCAGCACAGTTTTCAAAGGGGATGGTTTAGGTGCAGCTCCTCCAGAAACTGTTACAGAACAAGTACAGAGATGCCGATTCAATAAAGTAGATGTGACATTTTCCAGATCCTAGGAATTGTTGTAAAATGATTTGTAGAAGAAACAAACAGACCATTTCTGGTATAACCGTAAAGTGTCTTTGAGCACCTGTACAATTGCTTGATAAATTAAATGTATTTATTATTAATTAAAGGTCCCATGTCATGCTTTTCCGGTTATTACTCGGCCCCTTGTGTGTTATGTAGCTTTTTCTGTAATGTTTTCTGTATGTAAACGGTCTGCAGAGTCACCTCATCAGAACAGAGTGGGCGAGCTGACCAATCAGAGCACAGTGGGCTCATAGGGAGGGGGGGGCAGGAGCTCCAACAAGGTGTGTAGGACAGAGAGTGAATACACATACTATACAGAGATGCTGTATGAGAAACCAATGTGAGTTTGGAACATTGAACAATGTAAATCTATTCTAGTAGACCTCATCAGTAGAAATGGCCATGTCATGGCACCTTTAATTAAAACCTTAACAACCTTTAATATAATCTTCAGGGTAAAAAACAATTGATCAGATTAAAAACAGGTGTAATTTGAATCTGACCGTTACAAACTATGACAATGAATCAATATCTAGAAGGCAAAAATGAATATGTACATCCTCCGTGCTGGACTGAGTGAAATACCCAGAAGAACTTTCAATTCATCACTGCACCCTGGATAAAGCAATTATGATCCAACTCCCACTTACTTCTCCAAAGCTTTCTATGTTTTCCATGAAACGCAGCTAACAAAGGGATGATACAGAAACGATAGGATCCAACAAGCAGGCATGTCAACAGAGTGACATCACAGTGGGATGCTGCGCTGCCCTTCAGAATTAAAGAGGAGCCGTTGAAAGAATGAACTGTGAATTCAGTCCAAGTGCAGCTTCGAAGTCCTGTGTATCCGGCCATTGGCTTTTAATTGAAGAATAGAAAATAATAAGGAAACTGCTCTTTTTCTGCACCTCAGACAACAGTTGTGTCTGCGTACTCTCCTCCAGGCAACGCTGTGTGTGTGAACTAGAGTGGAATAGAACCCGTTCCCATAACAACCACACAAGGGGGGGTCCCCAGTTTGGAAAATAGGCCCTCTCAGCCAATCAGAGACCTGTATGCTGTTGAAGATGCTGCGAGGAAAAGAGCCCTCTGCTCCTTTTTTGTATAATACTCTAATAAAAAAAACACAACACACCAGCACCACTCAGAGCTCAGCACTGGATTGATCTTAGTGTTGTATACCGATTGTTGATAGCTTTGAAAGAAGTCATAATTTCTCTCCCTCCTTCTCAAATATGTGTTCTCTACTTTATTGACATTAATGGGAGCATGTTCATTTTATGTCACAGGTATTAGATGAGGTAGATAGGTGTCCAAACAATGTCAAAATATGGAAATGTATTCATAAGTGTGTGTCTTATTTTTCTAAATGTGTGTTTGTAAGGACACTTTGATATTCCTCTTTTTTATAGAGCCTAAAATAAAGAAAAGTAAAAAAGATATCACAATATTATAAAGATGTATGTTAGCAGATGTGGGGGTATTTAATCAGAGACAGATTTGCCCTGGGGAGATTTACATCCAAGCCTAGCCCTCAAGTGGGTCACCATTTAACAAAGAGGTCCCCCCCCCCCCACCTTTTGGTCCAGATGTTTTCAGAAAACACGCTTTGACAAAGCGGCCTGATGCTGGAGAACTCCTGCATGAAACTGATTTGATATCATTGTGCTTTTGTTCCTAAAAGCTCTGTAAGAGCTGGTTAGGCTTACCGTGTGTACTCCCTTCACTCGGCTCAGTGTGAACACCGGGCTCAGTGTGGCTGCTGGACGGCCCCAGGGTCTTGCGTGGTAGTCTAGAAAAAGGCGTTAGGGGAGGGCCCATGAGAGAGGGTCGAGAGGCAGTTTGAGGAAGTCGAAATCCATTCAGTTGAGGCTTGATGCTTGATGTTGACACATTTCCATGGGCTGACTCTCCTGTCTGCACTCTCTGACTGCCTGTGTTCAATGGAGCACAAATACATATCAGAGGTGAGCAGCATGAACACCGTTATTAAAGGATAAACACGCATACTGAGATGTGTCATGAATAAAAAGCTGGAAGTTAAAACATCCACAGAGCTCCCAGACAGGTCAAATCAGCCATAATATGTTATTTAACAGGTAATATTGAGTCCTTTTCATGGGATATTTGTCCATCAGAAAAACTAGTAAAAAGCATATCTATAAAGCTAAGAAAACAATGTATATATTATTAATGAAACAAATAAACAGGATCCCCAACACCTTACCCCATTTGTTAATTATAACTTTCAATATCAAATTGTACACAACTTACCAGCAAGTATCTTACTCATTACAGCAACCATGTCAAATCTGATCAAATACAAACAAATAAACAACAATATGTTGTAGTTAAAGCTAAATAATGCATCCTCGTGAAGTTTCCATGTAGCTGGAGCATGAGAAAGTTACTGCTTTTTTTTTTTTACTGTGCTCAGGGAGCTTCTTTCAAACATTGTTTTTTCACTATTGGCGAGCTCAAAACCTCCCTTTCCTTCCCTTGATTTTCCGCCCGTACAGATGGCTTTCCATCAGAGGAAGAGTCCCCCTCCTTCCCCAGGACTCCTCTCACTATGAAGAGCAGCAGGGCAGAGGGAGTTAGCTGTGTATTCACAAGACAAGAGACGACTGTGGAACATGGCTGAGCTCACCAGGAGGACCACACTCTATAACTGGTTCTTCTTTGTGTTTCCACCGCCCAGAGCCCTAGTGGTGCTGCGTCATTGTGTCATCGTTTGCGTCGTGACGTAACCGTTTTCGGCATGCTTCATACACACGGCGCAAAATCCCTCACATCGACAACAGCAACAATGGCAGATAGAAGTATCGAAGCGCTGCTCATGTTGCTCTTGCTTTGTCAAAGCCAACTAGAAATAATAGAAAGACTTCAACAACTTTCCATTCGTCACCAGCGACGTTCAAATGTTCTTCACACTCTTCATCATCAACAACAATTATGTAGGACAAAACTCAAGGCCCGGGGGCCAAATCCGGCCCGCAACCTTATTTTATGTGGCCCGCGAGAGCTTGCAAAGAATATCATAAGTTTATCCTACATTTAATGTCGCTTTATATATGCCAATAAACTACATGGCCCACAATGCATCTTGTTTTGTCACCTGCGCACTGAAGCGAGAGTGGCAGTCTGAGTGAGGCGGTCTGTGACGCAGAGATCAAGGAACAGACGTTGCAGCGGCACCAAACACAGAGCAGTCTGCTCTATTCACCAACACAAGCAACGTCAGTCCCAGAACAAAATACAGAATGACCCGCTCTGAATCAGTCCGGTATCACTGCGGCTCATGCAGAATAGGGATGGGAATTTGAAAGCAAATGTATATTCGACCCCCAAAAAACAGTTAACCGAAATGTACATATCCTATAAAAAAAAAAAAAAAAAAAAAAAAAAGTTTAATTTTGAAAAACAAATAAATACATGATCAAATAAGTATAGAAAGGCGGGTGCGGAGGCGATTCACAATCAGGCCAGCTGTAGAGAAGACCCGCTCATCTGGAATTTGGGCATAAGATGAGGTTTGAGTCTGCGTGATCTGCGTGTAGGGAGGGGCAGCAGCCATATCATTAGCTAGATCTGATGGATTTGGACATAAACGAGAGTGAAGTATAACCGGACGCGAGAGAGAGAGATCAGCACCTGCAGCTCTGCCCGCTGTGAGGGACCGGTGAGCGGAGCGAAACACACCTTTAGACCTAACACATTTAGCTATGGCACTGTCGTATATATTGAATTGTTCCATTTGATAATATGTAATCAACTTAGGCACCCCTACCAAAAAAAAAAAAAAAAAAGATTACAATAAAAATATTCATAACTCATATTCTCATACCTGAATAATTTCGAATATTCGATTAATCGTTCCCATTTCTAATTCAGAGACACACATGGATTTGAGTTTAAAAAAAAACTGGTGTTAGGGTAATTTCATGTTTTTGGTGGATTCAAAAAAATTAAGTCTTGGCTTTCAGAGTATGAACGCCATCTTGCTATATTCAGATAAATACTTGTGTAACGTTTTTGAAGACAGGAGGAAAACTTCTGCAATCACCGTCTCCTCTCTGTTGCTTCCCACTGCCCCCCCCATGAAAATAATGAGTGACAGGCTGATAGTAACCATAGTAACACGGAAGGGCCCGGAACAGGGGGTTTTCAAAGTCTTGGCTTTCAGACCATTCAAATATTGCTGAATACATATAACTAGTTAAATAGTGCTTGATCTAAAAAGAAAAACGTAGTTATTAATTACTAAAAACCAATAATAATCCAATCTAGAGGCAATTATGTAATGTAACATCATTTTTTATATTTATATTTATTTTACTGACGCAGGAGAAAGAAGATAAATATACGGCCTGTTCGATCGCGTTAGAGCAGGGGTCTCCAACCTTTCTTCATCTGAGAGCTACTTTCAAAAAATGAAAGTGGCCAAGAGCTACTTGCATCACATCGCTTACATTTATTCACATAGCCCTCATCAGTTGAATTAAGCTATACTTTTGTACACGTGTGAAATTGCAATACCTAAAGCTTATCAAAAATAAGGTCCAAGAAAACGAAGATTTCTCACATATTATTATGGCCCACATAATAAGTACATCACTGAACATTCACATAAGTGTCCTTAATCACCACCTTACAAGCATTTCACTCTTTTGTTAGTGAGATGAATGGCACTGCATGCAGTCCACCATAGAGGTGTATGCTGGACCCACTTAGGTTCACTTAATAGAGTCATTTAAATGTTCATCAGTCGGTCTTGTTCTGTATTTAGATTTCATTCATGTCAGAAAAAGCTGCTTCACAAAGGTATGTAGAACAGAACCAAATAAAGCAGACATTTTCAGTGCTGCTTGGTGAATGTTCTTATAGTTTTCTGGGTCTACAAGGCTCCAGAAATGTTGTGAGTTTTGCTGAGACTTAAGCTGAACATTATTTTGGAGATCTCCACAGGATTGACACTGAACAGTTGTTCAGCCATCTTTTTCTTCTTCTTCTTCGTCTTGACATTAAATTATAAACCATAATAAATCAATTGTATAGGTCTAGCCTCCCTATATCTGTGTGTGAAAATGGTTCCATCCTCAAAAACAAAAAACTAATACTTCTGCAGTCTAGCTGCAGCTTCTAGCTATGGTCTTCTGTTAAAAAAAAGACACTGAATGTCTTAAATGTGGCATCACACACATGACTTGAGTCTGAAAACAGCAGGAGTATTTACAATAGCATTATAAAAACAAAAATAGTGCATGTGGGTGCACACTTACATTCTCTGTCTTACTGTTACATAAATCCCATGAATGTATGAGATTAAGTTAGCTTCATCATATCTCAATCAGTGATTAAGTGAATAATAAAGTTTCTATCGGGTCACTATCAGCCTGTCACTCATTATTTTCAGGGAGGGGGCGGGGTTTGGAGGAACGGAGAGGAGACGGTGATCGCGGAAGCTTTCCTCCTGCCTTCACAAACTTTACACAAGTATTTATCAACTGAAAATAGCAAGAGGACATTCATACTCTGCAATCCAAGACTTGATTAAATCCACCAAAAACCTGACATGACGATAACGAGTGTTTTTCAAAAAACACAAATCCCTCCCTGTGTGTCTCTGAGGCGCAGCGACAGGGCCTGATTCAGAGCGGGTCATTCTGCTGTTAGTTCTGGACTGGTGTTGGTGGAGAAAGCAGACTGCTCCGTGTGTGTTGTCGCTGTGCTGCTGTCACGTCTGTTCCTTGATCTCTGCGTCACCGACCATTTGATATTAGTGTGACAGAAAAAATTCTAAAATAAAAAAAACGTTATTGTCCAGCCGCGGCCGAAAAATCAATAAGCAACCTTACTACGCTATAATCGATAATCGAGCGGCGAGCTACTGAAAAGCTACCCGCGAGCTACCGGTAGCTCGCGATCGACGTGTTGGAGAGCCCTGCGTTAGAGCTAGCTGTAGTTAGCCTCTGCATGCTTCAAGCAACGATTATGAGGATATACAGTATCATTAAAACTGATTCTCAATGTTATTTAGGCTTTTTGTTGTTGTTGATCAGCCACCGACGTAAGCGTGACATATTTGGTTCTTGGTTCTTGACGGCAATCGAGTGGGGCTAGATATTAGAAACGTTTTTAGGGGTCAAGAGCCAGCCCTGCTGTGGTAGAAACAGGAAGAACCAGGGCACTAGCTCCAAACTGGCCCTGGAACTGCTTTGGTGGGAAAGGGGCATTAGAGGAACTGCCCAGTGGCACCCTCTGATGGAGATACTGCTTTACTACAACTGAATCATTTCAGTTTACAAAAACATGTATAAGAGGTGCAGAAATGCATTAAATTAAACTAATTTAATGTTCATCCTTTAATTTTACTGGTCATTTTTATTATTTCTGCAGTTATGGGGCAAATTCGTGAATCAAAGATATTTCCTATTGGTCACTCATAACATTATGGTGTTGCTTTGAAGGATCCTATTATATCAGCTACAGTACATAAAACCCACACAAAACCATAGGTGTTGCCTTCAAACCGACACACAACTTTAAGTAGAGTCCAAATCAACTTTTCTACTTTTTATGTTTCAAATGATATGCCTAAGCAGATTGTTTACAAAGCATTACCCATTTACCCAAATGGAAAATAGTAAGGAAATCATTAACTCTCTGCTTAGTTAAAAGTAGGAGATTTAAGAGGGCATTTGTTGTGACCTACTGTCAATGTTTAATTACCAACATTTAAAGGTCAACTTACTCTTTGTGAAAGTTTATCACTGGTTTAGCTTAACTGTATAACAAAAAACAAAATATTTATTTAACATGGCCCACTTTATATTTCTGAGTCTTACCTGTGCTGCTCTTCTGCTTGGACTGTGGTGTCCCGGCTTTGGAGGTCTTGAAATAATCCCTCCCCCGGGTTGGCTGCCTCAGCCTGCTGGACAGAGGGGACGGTCTGGGACTGGCAGGTGGAGGTTGTGAAAGTTGTGCTAATCTTGTTTGTTGAGGAGCTGGTCGTGCTTGAAATGTGCTCTCAGATGAGGCTCCCGTTGTTAATTCACTGGACTCTAGCTGCAAAAAGAACAATTTCTCATTCAGTCCCTTAGCTTTGTGCAATTGGCCACAACAGTTTATAAAAAACATTTTATCTGTTGGTAAAATGCCACTAACTTGCCAGTTATAACATCATCTCTAAATGCAATCTATCTGGATTTGATGTGGCTTACAGTAAAAGATGTCAGAACATAAATATGAACAGCACTGTAATGAGAATATGACAATGAGTCAATACTCACCACCAGGATCCTATTCACCACTCTTGAGGAGTTTTTAGCAGGTCGGTTTCCCGCCTCAGTTGCACTCTTGTCCTTCGGTGGCCTGGATGACAGTGATGAATTCTCCGATGAGCAGCGAGGACGCGTCTTGGGCACAGAAGGCTCTGCCTGACCTACAGCTGAGCCTGATGCGACCTTAATCCTGTTAGTAGTTCCTCTTTGTGCTTCAGTGTGTTTATTGTTCACGTTAACTTGTGATGGTTTTAGCTGTGAAGAAGGGCCTGACACTGATAACTGATGCACATTTCTTGTAACAATTTTAGATTTTACGCAGCTGAAGTCTGACTTGGGAAACTTCTTGATTTCTATTTTCTTGACCTTTGTGACTGCAACCAAATGATTAGGAGCTGCAGAGTTTTGCTGCCGTTTAACAGGGTTGTGTCCTGGGTCTCCTGTGTTCTCAGTACAGGGAGACACTGAAAAGGAGGGGGGGCTGGGTATCATGTTCCCTATGCTTTCTACTGGAGTGGAAGTATGGATAACATTATCAGTGTCTTGCATAACTGACAGAGAGTGCACAAAGGTATCGCCTTGTTCTGGTGTGAATGCTGCAGTGAAACAGAGCAATGGCTCTGTTTGGGCACCGGCAATCTGAGCTTCTTTTCCGCAATTTGCAGGAGATTTTTCACAGACAAATGTCTTCAAAAGAGCTCCCTCATTCTCAGCTGGCAGAGCTACAAGAGGGCTGGATGTAGCCATATCATTTTCTTCACTAGGTAGCATATCCTCAGTGAAAGTCAGGCCAAAAGACATATGGCCCATGTTCTCCTCGGTTACTTTCTCTGTTGATTTCTCAAAGACATCCGGCAGAGTGGTTGACAGCAGGTTAGATTCAGTGGGAAATGCTGAATGGCCAGCAGCCAGAGACATGGATGACTCATCCAGGGAAGAGACCAACAGGGAATGATCCTCTAAGCAAAAACTGTTAGTCCTAATTATCATTTCCCCAGAGCTCAGGGAGCAGAAGTCATTCTCAGTGGACCCTCTACGGGAAGTGTCAACTGAACTCAATCGGCTCCCAACAGAGTCTGGAGACATCACTGCACTGCTACTCCCATCCTCCGTGTTCTTACTGAAAGTGTGGAACTTGTCTGATTCTGACTCATGGTTGCTCATCAGACTCAAGTTTTCATTCCAGAAATTCACACTGCCATTAACAGGCGTGGCAATAAATGTTTGGTTCAGGCTCACATCACTGAATAAAGGATCCTTCGGTAAGGTGGTGTTGTACAGGTTATCCAAGGAGGAGGTGTTGCTGAGGCAGCACTCAGGGGAGCTGTTGGCTTCCCGGTCACTGGGGTTTGAAATACTACTGTGGGAGTCCGGTGAAGGCGACAGAGACGAGCTGTAAAGACTCTCTGGAGAGAGGGCCTCTCTGTGGGGTGGAGGAACTGTGCTCGCAACTTGGTCCGTAGACATGCTGAGAGTTGTCTTAGACATTTTGGACCCAGGATTTCACCTACTTCTGTAGAGAACCTCAAATTCGTTTGGTAGCACAGTGATCCATGAATCTTATTCAGGCATCAATATCTGTAAAGATGGGGAAAAGGTCACATGTTTTAAACATTTATCAACAGAATCTTTGATGACTTTGTAATTTCACTGAATGTTAGCAGAACCACTCAATACTAAGCTAAAGCACAGATATTCCAATATAAAATCTATCTCGGGCTCCATAAAGGCTAAGGCATGCCTTGGTAAGCCTTTGTAGCCATTGGTCATTGTAACAGTATCTGGATACTTTAAATATGTATGACTTGGCTCAATGAAAAATGCAAAAGTCATCATGATAATGCTCAAGGGAAAACATTTTGCAAGTCTGTCCAAATGATTTCCTACTTGGGCTATGCGATACACAATGTGATTACATTAAGATTGTTGAATATCAGGGTTCTTACAGTATGTTTTGCCAGACACTGCTGCTGTCTCTCATGGATCTTGGTTTCATAAAAGCCTAAATGTGAGGCTTGCCAAGCAGTAACAAGACATGTTTCTACTGTAAAATGAGCTGTTTGGCATGAGAAATATACCGCAGAGTCTTAACCGCTTTGTTGTGTACCGTTGTGTTTATTTAAGCTGACTGGACTGCTAAGCTTGCCAGGCACTACTACAACAAAAGCACCATTGTGGTATGTACCACAGGAGAGTAAGATATCAAGTCACCAACAGCCTGAAAGTGTTCCAGTATGCAGATCCCAGACATCCTGGTGCATATAAGAAAACCCAACAATTGAGAAACTGAAAAACAGAATAATAAATAACCTACAGTCTGCTGTACTTCCGTCAAGTTTAAAGGGACAGTACAGTGGTTAAGGAAGGAAGGGTGGAGGCTAAGAAGGTTCTGGTTGTCATATTCTAATGCAAAAATACTACATATCTAATGAAAACAAGAGTTAAGTGCATGTTGTTAACCTTTTCTTTGTTTATTCTTGAGTTGCATCCTGCTTGCTGTTGGCAGGTGTGTGTGTAATACTGCTAGGATAGAAATATATTTTATTGCAATATATTGCAGCAAAACAGTCTGGGTGTCAAAATAAGCCATTTCTTTCCCTATGAATAATGGGGAAAACAAGGCTCTACCTAAAGTGTTAAAGAGTCATACACACCTGTAGATGCCTGACATGACAACATAGAGTTAATTGTAGGTCTGGGGTACACAACACTGTAATTACAGACAGTTCTTTCTCAGGGCCAAAATATCCACCGTTGCAAACCAAGTTTTGCTAGCACTTTGACTCAATAAGAATGTTGAGTATAACCTACAAATGACACATTCAGCAAGTCTCAAATTGAATGGATTGATGAGTTTCTTTATAAGAAAGTGTAAAATCTAAAACACAATGCTATATATCATGCACACTTCAAAATGTTAAATCATTAAAAAATGTTGGACCTAAGAGCAATGTTCAGTCTGTAAAGATAACATTATAAATGAAGTCTCTATTCTATTGCAAGTGATTTTAAAAAGACTTTAAAAATGATAATATGCTTCAATCATTAGGTGTTCGTATTTAAATGGCTTATGTTTCGACCCTCCTGCTGATAAGATACTTTATCAAAAGCAGCTCTGCTATTATCAACATGACCCAAAGTCCAAATGTGGATGAATCATGTTGGTTTAACAGGCAGAGCAAAGTGACCTTCTGTACAATCAAATGAAATATACTGCCTTCGCAAACCTTTGTGCACATTGAACCTTGGCAGGAGCTGCCTCTCCAATACCACTGCAGTATCTTCCCACACACAATAGAACAGAACAGAACAGCGATGTTTCTGGTTTAAATCGTGACTAGGCATTATGTAAATTACAACTGCAACTGAGACAAACCACGACCAGACAATGTACAAACAATGACACTTACAAGACACTGAGCCAACAAATGGAAAGAAACGCTGCCTGTAGAAATATTGAAAAGTGCTTACCTCTGACTTAAGACGGATCAACTACATTATGAACCAACTAAAATACTGCCACTCTCTCCATTCACTGATAACAGAAGAAGAGAAAATGCGTCCACAATCAGCTGCCTGCCGTATCACGTTGGATCACGTTGTTGCAGGTTCAGCCAGCTCATTTTACCCTCTCTGAGGCAATCCCATTACTGCTGTCCCTCCAAAGCACTAAAGCCAGCCAACTGGGCAGGCAGTGGTGTGCGAGTGAGAGAGCTTCAGCCAGCGCCCCCCGTCCCACCACTCCTCCCTCCTCGTGTTCAGCCGTGCATCAGTAACATCACAGCCTGAATGAGGGTGCCCCCTGTGCAGGCATTAGGTTGTTTTTTTTCCTCGTGACTTTACTCCGGGCCCAGTGCAGCAATCTCTCTGGCCAGGCACTGTGTCAGACAGTATCAGAGAGTTGGCTGCACATTGCTCCACAGTGCAGGCATGTCAAGGTCCGGCTAAAGACTGAGCTCAGTGTAAGCTCCACTCCAGAGTTTACAGGAGAGTGAGCAAGGAGGAAAGCTACATGTTACCTTATCCATGTCGAGCCCAGTGCAGGAGGAGTGGCCTTGGCCTGCCAGGCTGAGTTGGCATTCACTGTTGCTTAGCAGCCAAAGTCCCTCTTTTATGAGGGAATGTATCAGGCTGCTTTTTAGTAAGGGATGAGTGAAAAGGGGAGCAGAATGACGGGAGGCCTGGTTTCCTGGAGGAATGTCGCCCTATGACAATTCCCAACCAGGATTTGAATCGCTTATTCAGAGTCACTTTCCACAAATGTTGGTTACTCTAAGGCAGATGAGTTATTCAGAGTTCTCCAATGATAATGTCACTGTCTGATGACACTCCCTCTTATTGTAGACAAACAGCTCGACATCTGATCCCAACACTACAGCAGTGGTGTGACACCAGCATCTAAGGCCCCCTAAGACCTATGCTATTTCTGCCTAATCTATACAAGGCCTCTGACCCTGGGAACTGCAGTCTAATCTTAACCAGAGACGAGATGTAAATCATGGTATAGAGCGGGCTTATTATGCCCCCTGAAAATAAGTCCTGTAAAATCTGTTATTAGGAGAGTCTAGTTATGTATTCTAAGCTTTTTGACATTGACATCTTTAGTTTACATGCAGAACTAATGTCCATTTTCCACTTTAAGATGGGTATGTTGCCAACTAAATAGTGTATTGTAAACTAGGAACACATCCATGCAATATATATTTAAAACCAGTAGGATGACCCTCTGACACCTGGCACTCACAGTAAACTCCCAACTACTGTGGGCTCTAATGGATCCTAGAAGATCACTCTGCCTTGTCAAAAAACACAAATGGGTAATTAAGTAACTGTGTCAAATTAATTATCAAAATTGCCTTATGGGTGTAAATCACAAGTTTCTCGATACAATTATTTATCGATCTTTTGGCCAACGTGGCAGTCTTTGCTGATAAAGATAAAGATAGAGTCTTTCACTATCATACTATAGTTATTCGTATACATTTTAGCACCCTGCGACAGATGAAACAATATGATATACCCATTGACACACATCGATTATATTTATATCAAGTCACACAAATAAATAATGTATTACTACACTCCCTGACATTTAAATAACCTAGATGTGCTATAGGAATTTCAAAATAAATGTGTATATTAAGGATTGATATTAACCTATTAAGTACAATGTGTTGGAGAACTAGCTATAGTGTTACATAGTGATGTCACTATGTTACGCAAGTAAACAAAGGAGTCGAATCGAGGCATTGCAGGCAGGGTTATGGGAGAGAAACTCCCTCTGGCCTGAACTTTGGGATTTTAGCCTTTGCAGACAATTAACATTCACAAACTCCTATTCCACACTTCAGGGAAGGGAAACCCAAAAAGGCCTTTTTAGTCGATACATGGATCCATATCAAACAGGAATCCATATCATTGTATCGTAACACCTCTATTTGATATTGGGCACCCAACTAAGATCCTCTTTGAGATAAATCCAATGCAAATCCACTAAGTGAGATCAACAGAACAATGCTTCCCTATTTCTGAATCCCTCAGGCATTGTGCAGCGAGGCTCAATTGCTCTTTCCTTGCCTTGGCTTGGCTGACAGGACATATCAGTATCACACAGGGAGCAGTTATGAGTAGCAGAGACAGAGCTGCACAACACTAGAGCAGGACAGCGGGTCAAGCTGGGAGATTCCAGCAGCATACCACAGGGACAACGCTGTCCTCTGTAAGCCACTGGGGAACAAAACCAAACCAATGAGCCGCCATAGAAGAACAGCATGGCACTGTCTTTCAAAAGTCAGAATATCAGCCGGTCTGCTCCAGAAACAAGAAGTAGAAAAAGGCTTTCAAGACAAAGCTGTGGGTCTATGCCATCTAGTGAAAAACAGAGGCAAGTCACATCTGTCAGCAGCTGTCCTAACGGATCTTGGTTCACTTTTCTCTTAGTTAGCCTAAACAGTGATGAATACACATGACATTTGCAGGGGTGGAAAATGAAAAATAAACAATAAGAACAAACATTAGACTGGACCTTCGTTAGTATGTTTTTTTGACAGGCTGAAGGTCAAGATTGAAGACTCAAGCTATGTTGGGTATAAACTATACTGTATTCCATAGCGTCAACAACTTTTTTTCTGAAGAAATGGGAAGTTTACATAATTTAAAGTGCAATTTTTAAATTGACATTTTGAATTGAGCTAAGGTGAGTGATGTTATAGGAACATTTGTTGAAAATACTCTTTATATCCCAAGGGCTGTCCATAATTAAAATGCTCTGGCATTTTGAGATTTCTTGAGGCATTCCCCCCCCCTTAATGTCACACTTTTTAGGAACATTTGAGAAAAGTATTTGCAATCTATGAAGATCCTAGGCCTGCTGCTAAAACCGTACTTAAAACTAAATATTTGCATTCATTATCTGGCTTAATTTTTGGGTGTATGAATGTAAAAAAGGAATAATGTCCATTACGTCCGGTTAGGGTCATGTCTGTTATTTTTTTTTTAGCATTTTCAGCTCATGAAAGTATAGTAAACTATTAGCATTTTGGTTGGCTAAAAAATTATTTGTGTGCATATCATTTGACTTTTCTTCTCCAAGTCCAATACGATGTCTTAAATGTCTGAATTTGTCAGTCCAAAACATGATCAGTTATTTGGGATAAAAAAAACGAGAGAAAAGTAGGATCTGATTTGAACACAAAAAACACAATTTTCCAAATTAGTTTGCAGTTGTTTTACCGTCAATGGACTATTCAAATAGTGTTCTTATCTCTCAGCTGAAAGGTGCCACTGCTGAATAATAATGTTTTACCCTGCAACACTTAACACTAGGGATGTCCCGATCACCTTTTTTTGCTCCCGATCCGATTCCGATCATTTGATTTTGACAATCTGCCGATACCGATTTTTCCCGATCCGATCTTTATGCAATGCATTAAGAGGAAAAAAAAGGTAACAGATAACGGCTGGTCATCCAACGCGATGAATTCAGCTATCTTGGCTGTTATTTTTTTGGCCTTTTCACTGTTCTGGGGTAGTTTCTCTTTCCTTTTAAAAGTCTCTGAAAGTGTCGGTTGTTTCAGTGCCGTTACCTGAGTGGCCGCTGTGTACTCGTCGTGTTGTTGTTGGTGGTGTTTGTATTAGATTGGTCATGTTGAACGTAGCTCTGTTCTTTCCACCACGCGGAACCTCCGCCTTGCAAACATTGCATCTGGCTGTTACACTGCCTTTGCTTTCAATTTTATAATACTTCCAAACTCCTGACATTTTCTCTGTCCCGACTCCCGAGTCACCAGCTGAACGTAGCCTCTTGTTAGCTTACTGCTACTATTAGACACTGCGCCCACTCTGTTGCCAGATTTGAGAGAAATAAGCAACCAGGTCTATGAAAACAAGCCCAAAAGAAGCAACACATACATGATGTTGTGTAATTTTAACCCAAAACTAAGGCCTCAGGATGACTTTAAGACGTGAACATGGTCATTTTTGTTTTGTAACATTAAATAAAATGTATAAAAATATTTTATAAAAAAAAAAAAAAAAAAAAAAAAGAAAAATTCCGATCCCCGATTTTTTTCTCCCGATCCCCGATCACGTGAAAATCACGTGATCGGCTCCGATCCCCGATCACGTGATCGGATCGGGACATCCCTACTTAACACAATAAGCAGATTGAAAATCCTAGATATCAAAGTCTAATCAACGTGCAAGGCTGTATTTAAAGCCACAATTACATAGATAGATGATTCTTGTTTTGGTTTGAAGCACCTCAACTTTCTTAGCTTCTGTAACGCATGCGGTCAATGGTGCAACATTTTGTGATCAAAACAACTGACCCCCCTGCACATGATTGACAGATTATCCCCCATGCAAGCCCTCCTCCGGCCAGTTAGGTCTATAATTAGACCAGGAGTAAACATACTTCTACAAATAGCAAGGAAAATACTCTTTAAAGTCCATAAATGGATTAAAACACGGTATCCAATACGCCTGAGAGACACTTTAAAAGATTAGGGGATAAACTATTATTACATTAAAATGCCACGGGAGTGGAGGTAGTCGTAGTAGTAAATAGATAAATAAAGTTTAAAAAAGGCGGACTAACAATGACTACATGAAATTCAACAGTTGAAAAACTAAAATGGAGCGTTGTAACGGTTGACAAAAAACCCTTGAATTAGCTAGCTTAATGTTAGCATGCTAGCTATCAAACAAACAGTCGACCACAGTGTGTGGGTTCATTTAAATTGACAGGAGGTTGAACTGTTGGTACTTACAAGTAGTTACACAACTAAAGTCGCTCACAAATGTGGGGGAAAGACACATAAAGAACTACCGTAACACTTCCCCAACAATTTAGACATACAGTGGTCCGTTAAGTTAATACAAATATAGTAAGACAAACAAATATCCACACTGCACCTGACTGATGACTTGAAACGTTACCTGTCACGGGAGCGAGCAGCGCAGACGGGAGCGCGCCGGTGACGATGTCTTAAAGGGCCCATGTCATGGCCATTTCCACTGATCATAATTACATTGTTGAGGTATACTAAAATAGATTTATACTGTGCAATTTTCCAAACTCACATTGGTTTCGCATACAGCATCTCTGTCAAGCATGTGTATTCAGCAGTATTCACTTTCTCCACTAAACGACTCGTTGGAGCTCTTGCCCCCCCCTCCCTGTGAGCCTAGTGTGCTCCGATTGGTCAGCTCGGCCACTCGTTCTGATTAGTCAACCACCAGAGAGGCTGCGCCCATGTCAGTGCTTTTCCCGGCTGCTCTCAGCGTAACATCAGTCTTATCATGGCGTCGGTACAGCGGTATATTTTATATACATATATATTTTTAACTGTTGTTATAGAAGAGTGTGACGGCCCCAGGGCCTTTGTCTTACGATGGGGTGGAGCTGAAGAGGCTAATCAGCACGATCACGGACACCTCCGGACACAGTCTCTCTCCAAA